GGACTGAGGAATTAATCAGGGCCAGATGCTCTTGGGACAACATGGTGCTGGCTCCAGTCTTGGACGAGCAGGTAAAATGTGCTCAGTGGGGTCTTCCACAAGTTGCTGGCTCGCCCCATCTGACTGCCTCCACTGCTCGTTGACTGCCCTTCTCCCACTTTCCCTGCAATCTGCATAGCTGTCCAGAGAAGCATTGCAAGGCCAGCGGAGGCCATGGATCGCTTTGCCTGTCCCGCTATGTCTTGCTTGCTTTGAGGGAACAGTTGATGGACAGTGTCAGCCAGGAAGAGGAAAGCAGGGACAGAGATCTTATGAAACCCGCACTGTGGGTCCCTGCCAGTCTATGGCCTTGACATCTTTTCCTTTCTGATTTGAACAAGGAAGGAGAAGAATGACAAGATGGCAGTTGGTTGGCCCAGATTCTGTATCATTTAAGAAGCCACAAAATGGCATCCAGCTGCAACTGAAGCCCACAAGTCTAAGTGCCTTAACAGTCAAGACACAGAGAGCAACGAAAGTCTTGCCAGTAATGCCCCTAAAGGATTCACAAGGCTACTATTTTCCCCCACATTGTGACTAGCAAGGTGGCAATCCCTACCTGCTCTTCCTCCTCAGGGTTTCACAGAGACAGTGCAGCCTGTCAGAGATGCTCTCAGCCTCTCCTTCTCTTGGACACATTGCATCCCTTAGATGGAGGGCTGCAATGGGGCAAAAGTCAAGCAGCAGCACCGAGGCGTACATTTGGGGGGAAACCTGGCCTCTCCTCCTCCCCACTTTTTATGTGCTTATTTATTACCAGAGTACTGCTGCCAAGACTGTGATTGTTCCCACTGGCATTTCTCCCTCAGCATCTCACAAGTGGGAGTGTAGGCACAAGGTACTTTGAAGGAATAGGGCTCAGTTTGTGCCAGAGATGGAAAGAGACTGATATCCTCAAGTAAGACTCCTCACCCAGGAAAACAGACATGAGTGTTTTGGATTTCTGAGCCCCAAGAGACCTGGAAGTGCATGTGTGAGAAAAGCCATGAAAGAATGCATGCATGCATGAAGGCCAAACTACATGTTACACTTGAACACATCTTCATATCTGTGTGTTTGGAAATTTGTGTTTTAATAGCAATGGTAAGAGGGCCCTGATTCAGTTCTAAACCATGACACTGATGGAGAAGGGGTTTTCCCTACACATTAGACCAAGACAAAAATTGCACACCCAGAAGCTCTTAGCATAGCCTATTAATAAAGCATCTCCTAGAGCAAACAGCATCGTGATGCCTTATTTTTCTCAGAAATATGGCAAAGCGGGGACATGGTTAACTCCCTGCCACCTCTCTCAGACTGAATCAGGATTCTAACTCTCTCACATCCTACATAAGAAAACATGACACTGTGATGTTTGATGCAATGTTAATGCTATGCCTTGGTTTGGCTTTTCGGTACCCAACCACAAATGTACTGGTAACCCACCACCAAGATGATTCAGGGCTTAGAAATGTGGGCAGTGGGGAAAGATGTGACTGCTAGCTACATATTTAACATCCTGTATAGGCTGGTTCTGAATGAGGACAAAAGGGGGTTCATTCTTAAGTCGACTGATAAGATGTTAAATTATTATTTTATTTTATTATTTTATTTTATTTTGTCTTGCTTTTATTGTAAAACTGTCCTGAGACACTTGGAGTGGACAGTATATAAAAACTTTTAATAAATAAATAAAATTATGACATTATTAAAGTATTATATATCTGAACTTATTTAGATCTTATTCTTCTTATTGTTATCATAAGGGCAGAGAATGTATTTAATTTATTTCTATATTGCTATACTTACAAAATTTCACAAAGGTTTTACAAAATTTACAACACATGATTGATTAATCTGGCAAGAAAATGAGTCATGCTGTTTTGTTCTCCTGTTTTGTAAACACCAGTTGTTGAGGCTATTGCTCACTAATGTTATCATAACAGGAGACTCCAGCCAGGAGAAATCTGCTATAAAAGGAAGGAATTTCACAAGAAATATTGTCTAGCTACAAGACAAAAGCTGGCTACTTCAAAACTAGAAATGTCTCTGTCTTTGGTTCTTCCACCTGGTTGCCTCCCCCATCAGCTCAGCAGGGACCAACTGCAGTTTGGCTCTACCTGTTCTCCAATTGCCTCTGTCAGTAGCCTTCCACCTGGCCATGATGTACACCTGGTATAAGAGGTGGCACCCAAAACATCTTTTCATGTCCCCTACCCATCCCTTCTGCTTTTCAGATAAGTTCTAGATTGTATTTCATTTTTAATTAGTATTACAATTAGTATTACATTTCTATATCACCCATAGCTGAAGCTCTGCAGGTGATTCACAAGTTTATATTTTAAGCAACCAAGAGCAGTGGTATATAAATGTAATAATAAATAATAAAGCTAGCACTGGAACTCAGAAAGCAATCATGCTTAGCTACGGCATTACCCTCTCCATTTAACAGCCTTCTCCTTGACTATTCCTGCAACAGTTACAACAGCATCAAATATTTTCATTTGTGTCTCTCCACGAATACATTTGTGTGAGCAAAAGCAAAACATACTGCAGAATGGGGAAACCCAAAAGCCACAGAGACTAAGTGTACAAAGGTTTGTCCTGGATTTTGCAATACCTTATTCCCCTTTAAAGGAAAAAAAAAGTATGTTATTGGAAAAGCCCCTTTGGTATCCCCTCCCATGCCCCTCTCCCCAACCGCACCCCAAAGCCCCAGCACCATCCTTTCAGACATTGATCACCCTTACCTATTGAGCTGAGGAGTAGCTTGTCTCGACAACACTGCCCAGATAGCTGAGATTAATCAAAAACAAAGCAGTTATCAACACCCGCAAGGAGCCAAGCTCCACAAGACATCAGCAAGTCAAACGGAAAAAGAAAAGAAAACAAAACAAATCCAAAGGAAGAATGAGGGGAACAAAATCGAAACACAAAAACCAAAAAACAGTGCTGGAAAAAGAAACGGGGAAAGAAACAGAAACAAAAGAAAGGATGTCAAGAGCGTATAGAAGGCATAGCTTCAAAGCATAGACAACAAGGTGCTAACACCAAGGGCATATCTACACTACAGACTTAAACTGGTTCGGGGCTCATAGCCTCTTCCCAGGGAGGCCTGGAAACCATAGATCCATGAGGAGGGTAGGACCAACTCCATTGTTAAGCAAGGCAATACTTGTTTTTCTCTACTATTAAATTAAATTAAAGGCAGCAAATTGTCAATTATTTGCTTTTATTACATTTTCACCACTGGGCACGGGCCAGTTGGGTTTTCAACATGGGGCATCAAAATGTCTGGAGCCAATGGTGAGAGGTTGGAAACAGACTAAGGATCTCTAACAGAAAGTATTCAGCTACATTTTCCATGGTTCTTTGAGGGAAGCAGCAACTGTTGTAGCGGTAAGAAAACCGATTGTTTTTCTTGTGTAGACATGCCCTCTTGAGAGTCCCGGGATTTTTCCAGACATGGGCTTTTTGGTGTGGCTTGGATCGATTAGGTTGGAAACTATTCAAAGAACGAAGGTTGGTTTCGTTGTGTTAGTAGTTATGTTCTCCGCAGCTCTTTTGTGCAACTACCTCTCTCTTGCCCTATGAAGCCAATCTCCTGAAAGCAGCAACCAATGCTCATGCTGTATGGGTCTCTAACAGGTTAAGAGCTTCCAGGTACCAGAGAGTATAGGTGAAATGTGGGGAGCATTGCAAGGGGTAAAAACTAGTCTCCCACACGGCACTCAAATGTCTCAGGCTTTCTAGAGCAACCCTAGCAGTAGTAACAGCACGTGCTCACAGATCCGTCTGACAACACACTCTAGTACCCCACCTTTCTCAATCCCAGTGGATCAACACATGTTTACATCGAGCCATTAACTGTTCCTTGATCTACAATGTTTGCATCAAGCCAGGAATCACTCATTTCCATGGGGTCGGGGATCAAAAGTGGGAGGGGCCAAGCTCTACTACATGGAGAACAAAAAAAATTGTTTCAACAAAGACAAAAGAATGGAAGGAGAGAACACGCCTACAGGTGCTGTGAAAGGCAGAGGGGTGGGGGAAAGAAGGAAGAGACAGAAAGAAAGAGACGCTTTGCCTGGTGCAACCCTGGTACCTGGAAAACCAACTTCTTGAGCAAAAGCCAGCTGCAATCTCTTTCATGGGCAGGATCCAAGAATGCTGGCAGCTTCTGTTTTGACTTCTGTATGTTTGGGGTGGATTTTGTTTTTTGTTCTCTCCTTACAAGTTGTTCATGTGGCTACTGTCTTGTTCTCTTGCCATGCCCAAGTCTTGGGGGGCTGCAGCACCCCTTTTGGAGATGATGTGGAAAAAGGCAGCTCGTGTGGCCATGTTTCAGTCATGGTGGATGACAAACCCTCTCGGGGGAGAAAGGATGTGAAGAAGGCAAAGAGCAGCCCCAAGGCCTTAATGTCCAAGGAAAGTAAACAGCCAGGAACTAGAAGAGGAAAATACTGGTAATTTCTGGGATTCATCTACCCAGCACAAAAAGAGATAGATAGATAGATAAATAAATGCCCAACCCCCAAAAAAAACCCCAAACATGTCATTTGTAGACATTTGGACCCTCTTTGTCCATCCCAGCACACAACTTTCAAACAAAAATCAAGCCTAGGTTTTTTTATTTCTTGGGAGGCGGAAAAGTGGACTTTTGTGCTAACCAACAACACACTGTTGCAAATCATCCCAAAGGTAAGGTACTCCATTACTCTAACCTGCTAAGATGAGCAGCGACACCTTGGCAGGGGGTGACCCAACAATACCAGCTTCACTGCGGGTGGGGGAAAAAGCCTAGAAGGGGCAGGTGAAGGTCATCTCCAAAAGGGATGCTGCAGTGTGCCTAGACAAACCCTAAGGATAAGGTTGATGGTGGCAGGGGAAGAACTCATGGGAAGGGACGGGAGCAGGTAAGGTGGGGAGGGAAAGGAGGGCTGGATAAAAGGGAGGCAGGCTGCTTCCACACAAACACTTACCCTGAACTGGTTGTCGGTGTTGGCTCCGGCCTAAGAATCTCCTCCCCAGACCTCCTTGGTGAGGGAATTGGACCGAAGACATCCATGGGCTCCACAGGCAGGGAAGGGCACTGAGAGGGGGGATAGCCAGTGGCCAAAGAGGTGAAGGCCATGGCAGGTCGGAAGCTGGGGCTCCCTCCCCGGCTACTCTGGGCAGGAGATCCTGTTGATGGAGTGGACTTGCGGGAGAAGCTGACCGCTGCCGGAGGCTGCAGGGTGATCTCGGACATCTCCGCCTGCTGGATGAGGCCTGGTCGTGGTCTGGCCCGTGCAGTCAGCTCTGGTGAGCTAGTGCGGGAGCTGAGGGGGCTTTGGGTCAGGGGGGAAAGCCTTGAAGGTTGTAGCACCACCTGATGTAAACTGGGCTCAGCCCTCCTGATTTGCCGAGGGCTGGGCCGAGGTCTAGGTTGGGGGTCGTACCACCTGGTGTCCAGGCCGAATGTGCTTGTGCCGCTGTGGCTGACTGACTCGGACGGCCCATGGTAAGGCAACACAGGTATGCCCATGCCTTGACTGGTATGTCTTAGCTGCCCTTGACTCGCCATTGGTTGCATAGGTTTGTCCTGCCATTTGGTGGCGGTGGGCACAGAAGGTTGGCTCCTGATCGGTGACTTGCCAGTCCAACTCTTTGGTGCCTCCAGGGCCAGGATGCCAGGGTAGGACGCAGGGACCTGGAGGGAGGAAGGTGGTGGCCCCCTAGGAAGACTGGCCTTTGGCTGCATGCTCTCAGCCATTTCGCACTGGTGCAGCTGGTGAGGAAACATAATGGGTGAAGACTCCAGGCCACTGAAAGGGAACTCAGCCCTGCCCCATGGTTCAGGGGACCGGCCCCCTGTTGGAGTCTGGGTCAGAGGCAGTGTGCTGTTGGAAGCATTCTCTCCATCCTCCTCGGGGATAGTGGGGTGGCCAAAGGGCCCTTCAGGATGCAGAGGAGGGGAGGACATGACAGAGCTGAGGGGGCTGACCTCTGGCATGTAGAAAGGTGGAGGGTCCATCTCTCCAGGGCTGCTGCTGCTGAGGTAACCATAATATGGGCCGTGGTGGAATGGCCTGGGAGCTGGAGGCCTGGCCTGGCCAGTGGCTTGGAGGCGGCTCTCCAGGGCACTCGTCCCTTCCAGGCCCCGATGGAATCTGGGACTGTATGCTGGTGGCTGAAGGTAAGACTCCTGGCTGGAGGAAAGAGGTGTCAGCTGGGACTTGAGGGCTGCCACAGAGGCAGGCATCACGGGGTCATCGTTTTCTTCATCAGACTGGCGAAACTCGGGGTACATGTCAGTCTCCTCCACAAAGGGGAAGCCCTCTATCCGGCGGGTCTTGAGTGAGGGCTCCATCTCTGAAGGGTCCATAACAAAACGGCCATCTGGCCCACGGCTGATGAGTTCAATGGGGGTGGTTGCTTCTGCTTCTGCCTCAGCCTTGGCAACACTGTATTTCTTGCTGCTGATGGCCCGCTTGGTCTTCTTATAAAGGGACAGCTCCTTCTCCTTGCTGGGGCTCAACATCCGCTTGCCAGGTGGACCTTGGTCATCAGAGGATTCAGAAGGGGGCCGAAGGGTTCGGATGCTCTCAGGACTCACCTTGCCAGAGGACAACCTGGACCACAGGAATGAAAGAAAGGTGGATGGGTCATAAAGAGGGAGCCCATCTTATGAAATTTCCTTCGCACCAAAGCTGGAACAGTAGCTGGCCAGGCACAAAGGAACACAATTTTTTTTCCGTTGATAAAGGGAACAAGCCAGCTCGAGTTAAAATAGGATGGTGGTGATGAGGAGGAGGAGATGCAAAGTCAAAACAACACCAAAAATGACAGTTCACATGTAAAAGCAACATAGGTTGTTGTGAATTTATTTATGCATTTATTTATTACATTTTAATACTGCCCAATAGTCAAAGCTGTCCTGATGCTAGAAGCATCTTGGGACATCACTTAATTCACAGCAACCCAGCCTTTAAAAAATGTGATTTCTTTGTTTCATGTGAACTAACATGTGATCCCTTTACGAATAGCATTCTGGATTTGTGTAACAAAGGTAGAGAACAATTTCAAATACGATCAGATAAATGGGAACACCTTTGTAATAGGGAGGAGTTACTCCTCAAAATGTATTTATTGTTGGTGCAAGGGAGAGCAAATAGCTAAATGCACATGCAATGAAATCACGTGTGAGGGTCCTCTAATACAGAGTGCTTACAACAAAGAGGTACTTACGGAGACTCTAGACTTTTCCTGCAGTGGGTTATTGAAAGAGGCGGGTCTGGAAAAGAATAACGAGGAGAGCAGGAGACATTACTAAAGGGATGCAAGGATAGCATTGACCAAGGTATCTTGTATCTGTATATCAAACTACATGAGAGCACATGACCCTCAGTGGATCTCCCATTTCTCCATTCCAATGGAGCTGCTATTTGCCCTGTGGAGCAAAACTAACCATTAACCATGCTGGTGGCATGGGGGTGGAAAAGTTGACATACACTCATACTGCATAACCGCCTCCCTTGTATGGCCCACCCCTGCACCAGGGTTGCCCATTTCCTGCCCCCACATGTGGCTACTCCAAGAGTTGCCTCTGAAATGTAACATGAAGCTCTCCATCGGTAGATTTTATTATGATTACACTGCCCATATGGGGTATGGATGACTGTCCAATGAACTTCCAAGCCAGGAACTCACTTGGAGTATTTTTACTTCCCTGTCTATTCTTCCAAGAACTGGAAGGATTGGGGTGGGGGGACCTATCTGGGCCTCAAGATTTCACTGTCTGGACAGTGCCAGATTTTGGGCAAATATGTCCGTACGCATCTGTTTGGCCATCTCTTTTGGGGAGGAGGTAATAATGTGGTTACATTTTGTGACATGGCATTCTCTCATAGTTGCGGATGTGCAAGTTCTTCTCAGTTATATGTTTCAACTTTGTAAAATGCTCAGAGAGCCTTTTTGGCTAGGGAATGGTATGCAAATGAAATAAATAAACATAATTTTCCATCTGCTTCTTGGAACTTAACACAAAGTCAACATAAATGGATTCTCCATGCCATTTTGACAACTACAAGTGTAACTTTACAACACTGGAAGAGCAAATGGCTGCTTTCATTATTCAATCCAACTTTGTGGCTATAGATCTGTGTCTTCATGGTCTGCCTGCCCAAGAATGTAAACTCCCCCATTTTTGCATGTTTCCCCGAGGCTGAATAGTTAAACCATTTACTTTCTGATGAAAATGCAAAGATGTGATTGGCAATGCCCATTCTTCGGGAATGTTGTTCCTTTAACCATTTGGTTGCTCTTTTCCAAACGAATCAGTGAAATAGTTTCAGTGCAATAAACAGAATAATCTTGTTTGCAGAAACAGCCATATAGATCAGCATCTAGCCCTTATTCAACATTCCTTTTTCATTTGTTCCTTCGCTTCCTTTCTGTGTACAGCTCATCAACTGAGGTGACTTTTCTCAAGAATTTTCTTGAGTGTATCAGTGTTCCCCACACCATCACCTTCTCGCTTGATTCGCTTTAAGATCCACGTGCTGGTGGTTCATACTTTAAGGGGATACTGGAAGGATACTGGATCCAGAAGGAATCCAAGGAGGAGGAGCTCAGAAGGGGATGGCACAGGCTGGGACAACTGGCAGGTGAGGAAGAGCTCTGGAATTTGCAGGTGGGTGTGCTCTTCCACATCTCCTGCTCCTCACACTGCAGCTGCTCAGACCTGTTCCAGCTGCTCCACAGCAACTGAAGGGCAAACTGTAGACCACACAGAGTGTCGCAAAACATGTGAGGACATGCAATATATTACAGTTTCCAAAATACATTTTGTTGGCATGCTTGTGCAACAATGCTATCAGTCCAATGATATCTCAGAAGAACGAAGAACTTTCCCCAGACACCGGATTAAGGAATTCATGATTTGAAGAGTGGATTACCATTTCTGTTTGGGTATCACTTTGTTCTCAAGGGCAATGGAGACAAGTGCACAGAAGGACATTCTAAGGATGGTAGAAAAGTGAGAGCTGACCACATGTTCTCTGTCCTGGAAAACAAATGCCTCAGAATGCAATGTGTTTACTCTGGAATTACATCTAGTGTACTTTAGAAGTCTGTCCATCTTCACCCCAAGATGGTTACCAGCAAAACAGGCCAAGATGGGCTCACCTTTTTTGCGCTTAAGTTTCCGCTTGCGTTGCTTGTTGACAAAGCAGGCAGCTAGAGTGCTGAACAAGATGGCAGCCGCAAGGAAGCATATGGTGGCAACTATCCCTGCCAGCACAGGACGGGCCAAACCCTCATCTGTTAGGTCTGGCTGTGGAAATATGTCTGGGAGAGACAGAGAACAGGAGGACCTGTTAGGATGTTTCTGCTCTGGCACCGTTGCTGCAGAGAAAGGCCACTTCGGCTAGAATAGATGAGTGAAACTCTTTCAGCGATACCTTCTGCACCCACGTCTGAGATGGTTTCAGGTGAAAAGGACCAGTGCTGCCATGCTGCACCACTTTTGCAAGATTTTATATGACTTTGGGCAAAATTCACAATTTTAAAGAATTCTCCATTTGGAAATATGAGAAGGACCATTGTGGCAGCAAATCTCACTGTAGGCTTGTATTCCCTCAACACAAAAACTCCCAGCAGAGATTTTCTTGGTAGGTGCAGCTATCTAGGAAAAAAGTCTAGATTCAAGCATCTTCTGTTTAAGGAGACAGAGGAAGACTAAAGTAAAATGCCTTCTTTATTAGCGCCATTTTTATAAACCAACTTTCTGTGCAGATTTGCAGTGTCACATACATAATTAATATTTAAAAGATCAAAATAAAACCACATTAATAAATGACCAATGGAATAAAAATGGTCACCAAAAGCAACCAGCAATGTTCCCAGTTTCCCAGTCCTTGGCAGAATATTTTACAGTGCCATCAAATGTGGATTACAGGCATCCAACCAAAGGCAGATGGAGCAAAGAGTCAAGCTAAGTGTTTTACTCCTCCTCACAGGAAGGAGAAGTTAAAAAACTGCCAGGATTCTTTGTGCCCGGGCAGAGCTTTGCTTCTCCCCACTGCCCCCCAAGGATACCACCTCCTCATACATTTTAGAGCTGCAGCCACCATGGAAAGAACCACTTCAGCTGCAAAGTCAAAAGGAAGGTGCTCCAAATTTGGCATTGCAGCTCCAACCCCAAAGCACTTTTCCAAGGTCAGAGCTAGGGATCCCAATTTTCTTATGGATGCCTAATAATGTCTAGAGAAGTCTAGAAAAGACCAGACAAGTCTAGACGAATCTAGACGAGACCAGACAAGTCTAGACAAGTCCAGAAAGACTGCTTGTAGCCTTAGTCTGGGTCTTGAAAAGGAATCAGGGAAAACAGCAAACAAGCTTCTCAAGGAAGATTACTCTAAAACTCCGGGGTATCCATGTGATATCACTGCTTCCCAAAATAATGCAACTTGGAACACAGCCACATCGTCAGCTTGCCTTTGTGTAGGCTGGATTCTGTAGGCGAAAAATGCTTGGTGGAAGCTGGAGAACATCCTTACCTGTGCTGGACACACCAGCAATGTTGCTGGGTTCACTGATGAGGTCTTGCATGACAGCCAGAACGCGGAACTCATACCATGTGTCCTACGGTGTAAAATATGCATGTCACCAGACACAGCCGGCTGCTGCCGGTTCTAACATTCCCAACGAAAAGCAAATGGCATTGCTGATCGTGGCAACAGATGGCCCCGTTTTTTAATTTAGAAATATTATCCTCCCACTGCCGAAGCAAGGGAATTACCTTTGCATGTGTAGGGAAATTAGCCACCTGTGGTATGTAGAATTGGCAGGTCACAGCATTTGTGGTCAAGCCAGAAGAAAGAATTGATCAATCTGGTCTAGAATGTAGGATCATGCCGAAACTAACAGGTGGGACCACGGGGTTTCCAAAATGCATCAAGAGAGTCCAGCTCGTACATACATGCACATCACTTGATAATTTAACACTTCATCTATTAAAGTGTATGCCACGTTTCAGCCCTCAAAGGGGCTGCCAAAGCAGCTTCCAACATTAAAGATACATAATGTACAAAAACAAGCATCCTCATAGAAGAGAACGTATCCACAGCAAGGGGGAATTCAAAACAAACCAGAAGCCTGGCAGAACAAACAAATCATAACCACTCACTAGTTCATGTCTTGAAAACGAATGGATGAAAAAGCATCGAACAAGAAAGTTTTATTGGGTGTTTGATCTGGGATTCACACATGCAAGTCACATATTCATTATGTGACAAACATTCATGTGTAAACCAGTTCTCCCTTTCACACTGAAGATGCCACTCAATAATAGAATTTATGCATCTATGCACGAAGAGATACTGGGCATTAGCTGTTTTGCTCAAGGGTTGATAAATGGAATTCACTGGAGGAATAGCAAAATACACATTTTGGCATTGCATACACTTCAAAAATTCCTTCCTGAAAAGAGGGCAGTTATGTGTAAGTTACACTGTAAAAATACAGTTCCGACCGATCAAAAGTATTCAGTGATGTCATATCTGGAGTTTTGTGCAAAGATGAGTACATTTCCGCTATGCCATGACTTAGTTGTCTCATGGATTTGCCCTGCCCTGCAATCTATTCCTCCTAAATTCCAGCTAAATTAGTATTTCCCAAATAAATGTTAATGCTGGAGCAAGCAGTTTGTCATGGCTTTCAGGTCATCAGTGTCTTTTTTCCACCCACTGTTCTATGCTACCAAAGCACATCTGCACACTCGTCTCAAAAAGCAATCTTGGACTGCACGGAGTTCCTTTCCATCCAATGTTTTCCAAAGGACACGTGCACTCCTGTGCATCAATAGAACACAAGAAGACTTTTGGTACACATAAAAACCACATTAAGATTGCTTCTTTATCAATGCACAGAGGCACTTAGTAATGCAAGTTGGGGGTAGCGGGTAAGACACAGCTCCCCACACATAAATCTGGAATTTAAAGACAGAAACATAGCAATTTATTAATACTGCAGTACCAACAGGTAATTGAAAGGGAGAACTTTGCATGAGGAAAATTTCAGAAGCACGCCTAGTTCTGGGAGGAGGACCTAGGAAGAACCTTTCTTCTAAAGAGAGTGGATGGTGTCATCATTATCCGTTTGGGGACCCATTCTAGGATACATGGTCAGTTCATGAGACAGGTGAGACTTTTGTCCTCGCAAAGCACTCTGACTCACACCCAGTGTTCCCCACTGTTGCTGTACATTGCAGAGAAAGATCGGTAGTTGGACAGACAAGTCCTCTTTCAGGAAAACTTCTTTCCCATTACTGACTTGCTCCTTAAGGAATCCTTAATAAGCTGCAAGCTGTTACCAAGCTCAAGACTCACAAACTTATTGAGCTATATTTCCCATCATCTGCAGGCATTGCCCATGGGGGCTGGTGAGAATGGGGCTCTAGTCCAGCCCTATCTGGGGGCCTAATTTTGGGAAAGGCAAGCCCAGATTTCCAGAACACAGTTTGAAGGCTAAGCATCCTCTTACCTGAGTCAAATCCTTGGCAAAAAAGTCACTGTCACTCCCCAAGATGGCATCATCTAAAATCTCCCATCTTTCTCCTACCCGAAACTCCATGATATATCGGTCAATCGGAAAACTATGATTGGCTGGAGGAAGCCATGACAAAAGGACTCCTTGCTGTGTCCGGTTGGCTGTTAGGCACCTCGGTGGAGTAACCAGCACCAGGGGTTCTGGAGTTGTGACAGGGAATGCTGAAAATCAAAGGGGGTGCAGGGGTCGGGGAGAAGGGACAAGCAGACATTTTAAGAATGGATGCAAGAAGAGCCACCTGGGAAAGGACTCCCTTTGTACTAGAAGAGCACTCGTCACTCATTTTGCACTTGGTCTGTCGCACACCAGCCAGTGGTTGGCTATCACTTTTTCTAACACTCTCTCTTATGTCTGGCACTCCCTCGAAAAACTGTATAAATACCTATGCTGGTCTTGCTACCAAAGGACAAGGTAGTAGCCCTTACATTCCATATAGGAAAGCCAGCTGAACCATTCTTTAACACGGACAATAGGAAGGCATCCCCTACCATACCTCTGGAGACCTTAGGGGTCAGATGTAGTCCATTCTCAACTCCAAGAGCTTGCCATTACCTCCCAGCATCTGCCACCTGGAACAATAACGTCGCTTGGTCTAAAGGTAGGGCTAGCCCTGTGCTTTGTGTCTCTCTCCCCTTTCCTTCAAGTCCCTCCTCAAAATGCACCTTTTTCATAACACCTGCAGCATAATTATTTAGTATTCACCCACACTTGAAATCACCATATTCCCAGCATCTCATTCATCTCATGAGCTCCTCGTGCCACGTGCATTGCCATTTGGTATGTTACATATAGAAACAACAGGTTGGTATGACAGAAAAGAGTTGTTTCATTTAAAAAGAGAACACACGATATATTCTTCATCAAGTTGGTGCCCTGTAGATGCTTCAGACTATAAATTTATTTATTTATTTATTTAAAAATTTCTATGCCGCCCCATTTGCCGAAGCCTCGGGGCGGCTTACAACATCAGTTAAAATATAAAACACTAAAAATATAAAACACATTAACATTATAAAATAAGTCGACCTGGCCAATTATAAAATCCCATCATAAAATCCCATCATAAAACCAAGCTAGATAGAGGTTGATGGGAGCTGTGGACCAAAGCATCTGGAGGGCACCAGAGAGCACAAAGGTTAATCAGTTAGTGTACTCTGGAGCTCACCTAAAGTATTCACAGTGACCACCTCACTGAAGGAGCTTGTGCCCAGCTTGTTTTGGGCCAAGACACTGAACTGATAGGCAGTCTCCGGTTCTAGGTTATCCATAAGAAGCCAACTGGGGCCAGTCGGTACTGGAAGAGAGAGCCAGTCATGAGGTCCAAACTGTGCCCGCTTCATCCTGGCAAGATAGAAGAAAGACAATCCAAGGGATAGGTTCTTTGAGGGGGGTGGAATTAAAGAGAAGAAAGAAAGAAAGAAAGAAAGAAAGAAAGAAAGAAAGAAAGAAAGAAAGACAGACAGACAGACAGACAGAACGACAGACAGACAGACAGAACGACAGACAGACAGAACGACAGACAGAACGACAGACAGACAGAACGACAGACAGACAATCCTTTAATGAACAATGGAGCTGTTTGGGAGATGGGCCCAATGACACCCAATACCAGGCTAAAAGAATACAAACGTAGGTAAGAATTCCACAGGAATGTAACTCAAATTACATGGCAAGGGAAAGTGAATTCTGTGAACTGCATGAATCCACCAAAGTCCTCTACATAATTTAGTTCTTCCACACACCCTGATCTCCACCCATTTTATTTTACAGCTTCTTTGGCTCCTGTAATTTCAGCAGCAGCTGTCCATACACTTTCATGTGTAGTGTCCAGATCATATGGGCTAGATATGTGATTATTTTTCAGGTAAGCTGAAATGTTCAGGAAGCTGAATTCAGTGACTTGTTTGTGGCTTTTCTCCACTCATGCAGCACACACCCACCCATTCATAAATCCTCATCTTTCACGCCAGAAAACTATCTGCCAAGACTAAAAACTGCTGTTCTGCAGTGTGAGCAAAAGGGAGGAGCTGGGATTTATTTTCAGCTTGTCACTGAAAGAGACATAATTAATGAAATCATGAAAGCCCCAAACAGTTCAATAATGATTAGAAATTATATGTTTTCAACCAGCAATTCTGCTGCCCATGGGTATTTCACTGCATCAGGCTCTGATTACTTCTCATGGCAAATCTAACCACTTATTATTGATGGCATAACACTGGCTCAGCCAAGAGATAGGTAGGTGGAGTCTAGGCTTACTCATATGCCATTGTTGGGACTGCCAAATTAGCCACAGAACTGAATTCTGCCTCCTGCCAGGTTTACTTGTTCAGTGGCTGGAGCAACGGGCATGTCCAAATTATAATTTCCTCCACTATGGCTCCGATCCAGACCCTGCTTATGACAGCACTACTGAAGGTGGAGCGTTGGAGCAATGAAACGGCGATGGCTTATTTACATGCAAATGCTCTTCTGCACCACGAATTCTACAGAATGCTTGATCCAAGTGACGCAACAAAAGCTGGGCAATGGAGCAGTTTGAGCAACAGCACAGAGATCAATGATGCCAGCACCTGTTGGGTCCATCCGCCACGGATGGACTGAAATTGCACTTCTTCTGGCGGTTTGGTGGATGCCCTGTCATTTGAGGAACTTCAGCTCTTTGAAAAACTATCCACAGGTCTTTTCTAGCCCCGGGTTAATTTACGGGCTCTCGCTTTCTCCATTCAGGTCCCACTTGTCAGCAAACCATGCTAGTAAATAAGATTGCCTCTGCAATTGCATGCACAAACTCTGCTCTTTACTCTGTCTTTCCTGATTCTGCAACTTTTTTTTTAATTTTTTTAAATTTATTTATTTATATCCTGCCTTTTTCCTACAAAGGGCTCAAGGCAGCTGACATCATTCTCCTCCTCCATCTTATCCCCACCACAACAACCCTGTGAGGTAGGTTGGGCTGAGAGTCTGTGCCTGGCCCAAAGTCACCCAGTTGGCTCCATGGCTGAGCGGGGACTAGAACCCAGGTCGACTGAGTCCCAGTCCCATGCTCTTAACCACTATACCACCCTGGCTCTCCTGAACTGGCTCTCACCCTGAACTTTGTTCAGCATCCCTTGCCCTGCCAGTTCTACTCGCTTCTGGAGTGCCACAGCCACCCTCTCTGGCCAGTTATTTTGCTTTGCCCAGAACTATTCTGGTATGTGTCACCACCAGCTATTTGAACAAGTGAGTAGAGGAGCCCATAGGGATGCCTGGAGAGGTCTGGATAAGACCCTATGGGTAGGGAAGACCACTATCTGAATGTTCAAGCTGCAAAATAAACAAACAAGAAGCTATCAACAATTCACTTGGGCAGAATGGATACAATAGCACCAGACAGTGCTATTGTGTTTTATTTATTAACAGTGTTCATTAACAGATGAGAAGTTTAGGATATTGACTTTCAAGCCACATTCAGGAGTAGTCTGGGTTCTGCAAAGGCCATTTAGGGGCTCCTCAGTGAGAAAGTCAGTAATGGCAGAGAAGCCTGCGGCTATTGATCTTGCCCTGCGATGCAGAATTGATAAGGGAAGTTGCTGCAAGGCAACGGTAAGGCCACACTACCTTGGCCAGTGCCTCGAGCAAAGCAGTCATGCACTACTGAATGCACAGGATGCTTAGCAGAGGTGGAGTTAAGATGGAGCAGGTTCCCTGAAAACAGGAGATTTTGAATGCCACTCTGCCCCAGGGATTCGAAAAAGAAAGCAGCATCTTCTGTTCAATGCACTAGGTTCCCACAGAGGCGGCTGCCACAAATGTTAGTCCTCTTTCCCCACACCTCTGAGAACTTTCTCTGCAAACATAGACCAAAACTCCACACTCTTTCATACTGTGATGGAGGAGGAGGAGGAAATGGCCATCATCACCTGGAATTATCACTGTTTGCCAAGAGTGTGATGGCAGGGAGTGCAAGTTGGCAGCAAGCAGGAAAAGCAGCTGGCCAGTCCCCTCCAAGGTAAGAAAAGTCTTCATGGAAGGAAAGCAATTTAATCATTCCTTCTCAAGGAGATTTTAATCACAGAAGCAGCTGCACGAATCTTGTTTTCTAAGCCTATTCCCCCAATCAGTCTGAGCTTTCCCCCTCCCTTTCCCCTATTCTCCCTTCTGGCCCCAAGGCCTCTCATCTCCTCCTTCCTTCTGTCTCCCCTCTTGTCTCGCCACATGTAACCCTTCACTTCCTAGGCTCCACCAGGATGCTCCCTTGGAGCCAAAGGGTTTTTTAATACGAACAGTGTATCCAGTCTATACACTTTCAGTAGACTCCCTCAGGCTAAATTAAGGATGACTGGGAGAGGAGAAAGGGAAAGGAGGAAAAGAACAAAAGCAGAAGGAAGTCCCAAGGATCGGACAGGAAAGCATGACCAAAATTCAGTGCATCCCGGCCACCCATCCAGTCTGAAAATCAATGAAATGTTAAGTGGCTCTGAAGCAGAGTGAAAAATTAGCCCTCTGGGCGAGGCCAAAACAGGTTGCTGCTGCTTTCCAGAGTCTGCCCAAGCAGCCTTGCACCAACATGCCCGCTTCTCTGGCTGGCAGTCATTCTCCGGGGTTACAGGCTGAGGCGGCTCTTTCCTAGCTCCTGCAACAAACCTGTAAGAGCAGGAGCATGTGCAGCTGCCAGACACCAAAGCTGGTCCCTTCTGCATGCAAATCATGTGCTTTATTATGGCGCTACGCCATATCCCTCCACATCCTTCTCCTTAGGAGACGATTCGTTCATGTACACACATCACTTGATTATTCAGTATGAAATGACTTACAACAAAACGTGTGAACTGACTCTAGGGGTACAATTCAGGAAAATGTGTTTCAAGCCTACAGGTATAAGTAATTCACTTCGAATGATTTTTGATCAGGATTTACCCAGTTCATGCTTAGAGGCAACCCGTGGGGAGGGAAAAAATGCCTGTACATTTCTGAGCTTGCCTTGTGGATTTTCGGGTTGTATTTTTAGGGGCTACTATTTTCAGTCCAACACGGACCTTGGTGAGTCTTAGCCTCACTAAAAATCTCCAGACTACGCTTAGACCTCTCTGCTGTGGAGAATACAGGCTTGTGACTAAGGTACAGCCTGCAGCTGACCCTCTTTATGTATCATCATTTATCTTTGTACCACCCCACAGCCAAAGCTCCCTGAGTGCCACAGGCATCCATCTGCTAGTGCCTATAGGTCTCCTAGCATCACCTACCACCAGCAGCAGCATGACCCTGCCACCAAATTTATTCCAGACTTCCAGTAGTAACTCCCAGCAATGCCTAATATTGATATATCAAGTTTAGGAACATAAAATAATTGCAGTTCCATCAATGCCAGCGGAATGCATTTTTTAAGGAAAACTGTCCATCCACTCCCAAATTTGCATTTGCATTCAAAACTGCATTTAAAACATGCACTTTGACATTTCAGTCAGTGGGGAAGTCTGCACTTTTAAGGCCATGCACACAGAAGTGTGCTCTATTCTCACTCACAATGTGTACTCTTCCCATTGGAATGGACTGGAAAGCATGTCACAGATGAAGCAGGAATCAGCCGAACTGAACTTCACAATGTAGTTTGGGGAACTGGCCTGAACCTGAATATTTCTGGGTCTCCCATCCCTCAAGGCAGCTTGTTGGAGATTAACTTGTTCACAATAAGGGAGATTCTATCAAAGCAACATCAACACACAACACTGAGTATACCTTTATAGCAAGACACATATCTGCATTAAACCTAAACATTAAACCTAAACACACTTCTCACGTGACAGCAAGTTCAAGAGGAGTTCCTGCACTTTATCAGCTTTTGCTATTAATCACTTCTAATAGGAAGTTGTAGCAGATAAAGCCATATTTATATAGCTCTGTTCAAGGAGGTTGGGAAAGAACTATCATCCATACAGACTGTTATATACAAGTGGGTCAAACGTTCCAGTTTGCCTTTAATCAAATGAGAATCAGTTACACTTCCAAGCAAAAGTATTGCTCCCTGTGCATAGCAATTGGAATAAATCATGCTGGAACATACAGAACAAAATGAAAGAAGGAAAGAAAGAGAGAGAGTGTGTGAGAGAGAGAGAATGAGAGAGAGAGAACTGCAAAGAAGACCTCTAACAAACTCACACACAGCTAAGGGGGATAGATTACTTCACCTATCTTTGGCCCGTAAGTTTGCATGTCTTGTAACTCAAGCCACACCAAGCACAGCTTACCAGTCATACAGAGAGGCCCACCAAGTTCTCTTTGATAGAAGTTGTAAAAATAAAGTGGCCGCAAAGTATCTGGCAGGCCAGGAACCCATGGCTGGTGGACTGCATTCAAGTTGGTGAGTTGCAAGAGGCATGTGAAGTTTTGGGCTACTATGCAGAAAAGTGCAGTTAAGCCAGGACTCACAGGCTCCAAGGGCCGAAACTTTCTCCCATTCCATCTCCTTCTGCTCTGTTCCCTCCAAGTTTAGCTGAACTTCACAGTAGCTGCAAGGGGAGGGGGGCAGAGATGGCTTTTCCCCAGCAACACTATATCTTCGTGAGCTATCCTTGTAATACAAAGTATTTTGGAGTGGTTTGACCTTGAGTGGGTAATTAAGACCCATTAGCCTTACAAAAGACCTATAAAAGATATACACATACAGATCAATGAAGCTGCCTGCTTTCCTGGATCCTCACTGAGGGGGTGGCCATGGAACTAATCATAACAAGCAGCTGCTCTTCAAGATTTACCATTATCCTGTTGGGCAACAACTGCCAGGACATGGGGAATCTCAACTGGAACAAAGGCATGGCAGAAGAGAGATTGAACGCTTTGCCTCCTCATGGGTCCCTGGTCCAGATCCCTCTCCCATGCCGCTATTCGCCCAGGAACGTCCCCATTGGCAAACAGCAGCTGGAAGTGGTGGGAATATCTGAACTGGGACAGAGGGGAGGCCCTGTCTAAATGCTGCAACCCGTTCGAACCATCCTATGCCTGCCGTGGCCGACTGTTAACTGAAAACCAAGTATGTGAGGGCCAGTCATGCACTCAGTCCACGTCTCATTCAGCCACAAGCAGGTCTGGGATGGGTCACTACCTGAATGAGGATTTATCGGGAAAACACATGGATGCCGCCGCCACCATCCATCTAACCAGTGAAACAGGAGTTGGGCTTGGTATGGAAGATGGAGAGAGGGCCAACAGGAAAGGGGGCAGTCCCCGCTCTGTATCACTAATGCAAAGAGTTGAGGTGCCAGGATGCAAAATCCTCCCCTTCAGGAGAGTTTGTGAGCATCCTCTCCCTTCCTCACGCCCCACGGATGCAACCGACCTTCAGACAGGTCAACCTAACATAAACCGGGAACCCAGCCTGAAAGGACAATGCCCTGTGCTCTGGGAAAGAAAAGAAGCAGAGAGCAAAGCATGCTGGGATGACTCACAGAGGGCCGTACCAAACTGAGAATGTCTGTTCATATCCTCCATCATAGCCAGGCTCCCAGGAAACATTGGCAGAGGTCATGGAAACGGTGACGCGCACATTGCCTGGAGCATGGGGGCTTGTGCCTAAGGGCAGAGGGGAAAAAAGCAGGGCTGTCAGCAGCGGGCACAAAATGCTCACTAGCATTCTTTGTTAGAGAAGAGCGGATAATCAGGCAGGAGAGGCCGTGGGGTAGGATATCTTAGAAGGGGGTGGATTAGCTGGGCCAGTGACAGCGAACAAGGTCACGTCAAACACTGCAAACTTTTGTTACAGGTGCAAATTATCATATACCAGCATCTTATATTCTATAGCTTTGTGTATCTTGTATTCTAAAATAGAAAAGAGTTTAGATGTTAAGAAGAATATTCACAGAGATGCCAGAATTGCTATGCTAAGCAACTAGGATGGTGCTAGGATGATATAGAGCTAACTGCTTCGTTTCGTTTCGTTTCGTCTCGTCTCATCTCATTTCATTTTGCTTCATTTCGCTTCGTTTTGTCTTGTGCCCTTAAGGACCTATCTCTGTCCAGCAATCCCTATAAAGCTCTAGCCCAGCTTTCTCCAACCTCATGTGCACCATGTGTTTTGGAGCATAGCTCCTGGCTGGGGCAGCTTGATACCAAAGTCCAAAACATCTGGAGGGTATCAGATTGGGAAAGGCTGCCCTAGCTTTAAAGTCTGTTTCTCAGTCTGAGCAACTCGTCTCATCAGATAAGAGTTTGCCTGGCTGAGCTCCTCTTTCTTCTGCTGCCATATTCCATCTCAAATTGTCCCCTACCGTTACCTTTTTGCTGTCCTAGCATGCCTTCTCTGCTGGAGGGCCCTAGAATTCAACCCATGGCTGCCCCAATGGTCCCTTTCGACCCCTTCAAATTAATTAACAGCACTCGCAAAAGCCCCACAGTGTGACAGCCTAGGGTTCAGTCCCACAACACTCTGATGAGTATTGAGGCCGAAAGGAAATATCTCTCTAGTTTCAACCTTTACAGGGAGAGAGATATGCTTAGCCCTGAAAGAAAATGGGGTTTTATTTTCAATCCATCTAGAGATATGGCCAAGAAACAAACAAACAAACAAAAGGACAGATTTTCGCAGGAGGTTCACTGGACCATGAAATTAAAGGAAAATGTTGCCCTTCTCTTCCTGGGAAGCATCCTCCACTTTTGCCTTTCAGACGTGGCATTTGCTGCAGATGTCATCCAAGAAAGATGAGCTTCTCCCAGCGTAAAGGAGAACATCACCTCCCTCTCATCATCCCTTTGCCATGCTACCAGCCCTTGGGTTCAAGTCATTGGCTCCTAGAGCAGCTGGATGGATCAACCCCTGAAATGTAAGAAATCTTCAAACCAGAGGCAGAGAAACAAGGAGAGGGAACAGTGGCTGAGTCATCCACCCAGGATGATGGATTGGTGTGTGCTTTTGGGCAGTGGCAACACAGCATCTTCATTCTCTTCTCTTGCTTCCAACATAGTCTCCATGATACTTCTGTTCTGAATTGCTTCCCTTTTCCCTTGGATCAGGAATGAATTGGCTAGTACTTTGATGATGCCTTCAGACTTTACCTATTTTGGCTGTTTTAAGGACAATATCCATGACGGGATTTAAGCTGTCACCCAGGATGGACTGAACATGGAGAGCTTTCCCACATCCCTCATCCAGAGACCAAACTCAATAATTATGGTGATCAGTACCATCATTGTTCCCACAAGCACTGCCAATTTCCAAAATGTCCTTCATCCTTAATATTAATTCTCTAATCTTTTCTTTTCCTGTTCTCGGCACACCATGAGCTGCATCATCAGCTACTCCATGGCAACTCCTCCTGCTAAATCTCCACCTGGGCACTTTCCTCTTCTCCAGTGGCGGAATCAAAGTCCACATTCAGTCATCCTTCATAACCTTATATCTTCAGGATTTCATTCAACATTTCTCTTTCTGTCCTCCACAATAGTGGTCAAAAGGGAAGTGTGTTCCTTCTGCCAGATTGCTGAAGTTCTGCATTTAGAGAGCACGAACCAGACTATTTTACTTCACTCCCCATTTGAAAGTGGTGTTCCACAAATGGAAGGAAGGGTAGGGGGCCCTTGTTGTTGTTCAGTTGCAAAGTCATGCCCGACTCTTCGCAATCCCACGGACAACATTCCTCCAGGTTCTCCTGTCCTCCACCATCTCTCAGAGTCCACCCAAGCCCACACCCACCTCTCCAGTGACTCTATCCAGCCACCTCAACCTCTGCCATCCCCTTCTCTTCTGCCTTCAATCATTCCCAGCATCAGGGTCTTTTCCAATGAGTCCTTCCTTCTCATTAGGTGGCCAAAGTATTTGAGCTTCAGCTGTAGTACCTGACCTTCTAAAGAGCAGTCAGCATTGATTTCCTTTAGGATTGACTGATCTGATATCTTTGCAGGCCAAGGGACTCTCAGGAGTCTTCTCCAACACCACAATTCAAAAGCATCAGTTCTTTGGTGCTCAGCCTTCCTTATGGTTCAACTTTCACAGCCATACATTATAACTGGGAAAAACGAACTTTTGGCAGGGTGATATATCTGCTTTTTAGAATGCTGTCTAGATTTGCCATAGCTTTCCTCCCAAGGAGCAAGCGTCTTTTAATTTCTTGGCTGCAGTCACCATCTGCAGTAATCTTGGAGTCTGAGAAAATATAATCTGTCACTACCTCCATTTCTTCCCTGTCTATTTGCCAGGAAGTTAATGACATCCTAATGCCCACTCTACAAATTTAGCCAAGCCAGATCCCCAGAAATAGCCTTTGTTGTGAGCCGCCCCGAGGCTTTGTTGTGATGGGGGCGGCATAGAAATGTTTTAAATAAATAAATAAATAAATAAAAACAATTGCTTAGGTGGGTACCGCTGTGTAATGTGAATATTTAATGATTAAAACGGTACTATTTACATGTTTGAGCAGAATGTGTCTCACTTGCCATCTTAATCTACTGTTACACAACTAGCTCAACAGAGCAGCACCAGTGTTCTCCTCTCTTGTTGTTCACTTCCCCTTGAGAAGCATTAGTGAATGGCTGTGCCTGTGTAAGACACTTTCCTGCAGCACCAAACAGCGCGTTCACCTCACAGGTGTCCCGGCACTTGGTCACGTCACAGGGTCCCATACCTACCGATGACGGTCAGATGGGTACTAGCAGTTATGCTTGTGACTATGTTGGTAGCGACGCATTCCCACTCTCCATGGTCATCCTTACTGAGAGATCGGAACTGGAGGCTGCCACTTGGAAGGGTGTTGTGCTTGCTTCTACTGGGCTTCCCTACCTTGGTCAAAGAAAAGAGAAAGCACAGGGGCGGGAAGGAGAGAGAAAGAACACAACTCAGAGGCATGTTGCAAGGACACCGGAGTGAAACCATACTATGCCAACAGGGCCTTCATGCACTGGAGGGGCCCGGGGCCCTTCCTGTTGGGACACTCCAATGCAGGAGAAAGAACAAGGTCAGTTCCCAGAAGGCAGTCCAGACAAGTAAGGCAGGTATGGACAGAATAGCACAAAGCAGGGCTGGCAGGACCAAAGAACCAGTAAAGGACTTGAAGGTTTGAGGGCAGGGAGGCACAGCAAGGAATGAACAAGGAGGTGTTCTTGTTGCACGGATCATCAGAGCCCTGGGCAGACAAGGGCAGGACCACTAGCTGTATGCAGGCAGGGAACAAGACAGGGAGCCCTTTACTCTAACAATCACCAAGAAAGGCGGGGATGCCTATCTTCAGCCCCACATGACTATCTTCAGCCCCACCAGAGATCCTCAGCTATTGGGTGGTATAAAAATGAAATAAAGAAATAAAGGTCTAGTATTTTTAATTAGAATCCCTGTAGTCTACCAATGTAAGTTTACCACAAGCATAAGCGTTCAAACTCAAGATCTCTCAAGAGTTCAGGTATAACCAATCATGCTGAAGGATTTCAAGTATGCAGTCTTACCAAAGTACACAGGCAACACATTGCTGACCAGACCAAAACACACCTGGTCTCACCTTCTTTGAAAGAATCCCAGTAATCACTGATCAAGAGGTGGTCCACCAGCAATCCATTGATACCCACAGAGCACAAGCTCAGCCTGTGGCTCTTCAGTGAGATGAAGTGGTCCAAGGAAATGGCCCAGAAGTTCTGCAGTGAATGGGCTTTGTCTCCAGAACCACAAGTCTGAGGGGCAACAAGGTTAGACTTCCCAACAGGCACATGCAGATTGAAGAACAGCCTTTGAACTGTAAGCATGTTGGTTTTTGCAGGTACATCTTTTGGGGGGAAAGTGTTATCATTTCAACCCCAAAGAAGAGAAAATGTCACTGAATTTTCTACTGTATCAATTACACAGAACACCTCACTCAGGAAGAATTAGGACAAATAGTTCTATGTGACATCAATGCCTGTATATTTCTAAGTCAATGAAGAAGTAACCAGAGCACAATTTATATGTATGTTATGCAATTTATATTTTGATGAACAAGTGATGGTAAGGGCACACACTTGTGTGAAACTAAGTGTTTACATGCATGCATAATCCATATATTTGTATAAATGCCTTAATTTCTGAGAGTCAGAGTCGATGGATAATCCATTCCTGGATATTAGGTATGCAATATCAGCTCCCTGGGGAGGTGGTGGGCTCTCCCGCACTAGAGACATTCAGAATGAAACTGAACAGCCACCTGAGTGGGATGGTGTGACTTGGTGTCCTGCAACAGCAGGGGTGGACTTTATGGCCTTCATGGCCCCTTCCAACTCTACTCTTCTATGATTCTGTGATTCTAATGCAAACACTATCACAGGCTGATCTGCACAAAAAATTTAAACCAGATCTAGGCACCTGTTTCCTGTCCATAGCTCCCCATCCAAAGAATGCCAGGAACTGCAGTTGACAAAATGACTAATGTTCTCTAACAAGAAATTCCCTGCAGGGTCACAGAACTAGTTGCTACTGTTCTTGGTGGGGGTAGAGAAAAGAGATTGTGGCAGCTGATGGGGCTGCTAATGAGTTAAATTTATTAATTTATTAAAACATCATTTTAATTGTTAATATTATTTGCTTATTTTATCTGGCCAGGGCAACTTATTTTATATTGTTAATTTGTTTTATATTTTTAATGTATTATATTTTAATTTATGTTGTGAGCCGCCCCGAGGCTTTGGCGAATGGGGTGGCATAGAAATGTTTTTTAAAAATAAATAAATAAATAAATAAATAAATAAATAAATAAATAAATGATTTAGGCCAGTAGGGGGTGCAACAATTCCACAGATTTCACCAGCCTTCACCAAGATCAGGGATCTGTGAGGAATCCATTTGAGTGCTTTGCCACCCATGCACTTGTGTGGGATCCCTGAAGCGCACAGGCCTTCTTCCATGAATCAGATCAACCAGAGCTTTGGATGGCATGTGATTTTCCTGCAACTACTGCGACTTGTGCAAATAACATAAGCTACAGGTTTTTGGTGCACTCTTTTTCACAGAACCAGCCATTTCTGAGAAAAAAAACAGTCCTCTGAAACAAGTGCCTTCATGCTATTTGTGCAAATATTGTCAAATTGTGCATTTTTAGTGCCATTTTGCATACAAATGGTGGCTTTTTCCAAAAAAAAATCAGCATCCCCAAACACATGGCATATCACTATCTGTACAAATAGTGCTCATTGTGTTAAAGTCATGTGCTTTCCCGGCACAGTTTATGAAAATTTTATTGGCAGTTTGAAAAAAGTGCACAAAGGTTGGCCCATGCTGCAGACGGAAACCGGCAAACAAAGCTCAGCTTGTCCCATTTCTGGTCATCAGCTGGACGCCTGGTTGCTCGCAAGAACTGGATTTCCTTTGTTTCATTTCCTCCCTAGCCATGATAAAAGCCCTCCATTTGCAACCATGAGATTGCACTTGCATGCCATGCTCTTGACTAGCACTGCCCTCTTGCTGGTGCAGCAGTTCTGGAAGAGATTCTGGAGAGGCAGTGCCTAAATACACAGAGGGAACAATGCAAACAGAGATGCACAGAAGAGGGAAAAAGGGGAGGCAGGCATGCCGTGCGAGACTCTGGTTTAAATCCCTGCACAGCCACCAAGTTCACTGAGTGACTTTGAGGCTGTCGTTATCTCTTCTGCTTCTCTCAAAGAACCGGGGAAGATAAAGTGAGAGAAACCTGATGAATGTCTGGGAGAAAAAGATGACAGATAAGGAAGAAGATTTAAAAATCATTCAGGCAATCCAGAGGTCTCACAAGCTGCTGCAGATGGGAGGGGGTGTGGGTTGCAGTAAGAGTGCTAGGCCAGGACTAGGAAGAGACAAGTTCGCATCCCCACTCAGCCATGAACCTTAGCTGGTGCCTCTGAGCCTTCTCTCTCTCTCTCTCTCTCTCTCTCTCTCTCTCTCTCTCTCTCTCTCTGGGGCACAGCTGGTGTTCATGCCAGTGCTGAAAAGCAGCAAAGCAGCAGCGGCAGTAGTTTGGACAGAGCTAGGCATAACCATAGACCAGGTGGCCACTGCATCTATTTCAACAGATCCTGTCTTCCAGGCTGACCATAGCACAGGGGAAGCAGCCAACCACAGGCAACGGGGACAAGGAAACAGGTGCACCAGGACATTGGGATGAAGGAAAAGTTGGACGTGGTCTTTTGGGGGCAGCAGAAACTGCCCGACGCAGCACAGCCCTGCTTTCTTGGAATGCTGGCTTTCGCCAACTGACTATGACCACCTGACTTGGCTGCAGCTCATCACGGCTTGGCGCAGGAGAGGCCAAGGTGAGATCTCCGTGCAGGATGACTAAGAGGCTATTCTGCTTTCTGCCCTGCACAGGACGAAGGAAGCACTGGGGGGAAGGAAGCCTGAGTGGGGAGCAGGGCTTTGGCAGACCCTGGCACGGGGAGCAAGAAGAGGAAGGGGGGTAGAGAGGCCCATTCTGCAGACACTGCTGCTAGGGTTTCCGCAGTGTCTAATGCTTTCTTGCAAGGAGCAGGGCTTCCCCCACCCACCTGTGGGATGGGGCGGCAGTGGTACAGCCCGAAGCGAAGCAGCTGAACCTGCAGGTTGCTCTTACCGGGACAGAGTGTGGCTTCTCTGTCTGTAATATTCATCAAAAGCCAAAGGCACTGCAGATTTTTCTGGCAGGCCGGGTACCTTTCTCCAGGCGATGACGGGAAAGGGGTCTCCTGCAGCGGCACAGGGTATCAACAGCTCCCTCCCTGCCTCTTGTCTGTACTCCCAGCCTGGTAGCACCGTGAAATAGGGTGGGTCCTGCAATGGATAAAAGGGGAAGGGAGGTGGAAAGGAGGAAAATAGATAAACAAAATCCAATTGCTCTCATTGAGCATCCAGCACGGAAAACAGAGCTGCCAGCTAATTGCGGGACTTTTAGCCAATTAATGAATATGCCAAAAGCCAGATGCTTAACAGATTATGTTGACATATCTATAAGCACTGACCCATGTAATGCATGACTCGAGAAGGGAGCAATACCTTCTCGTGTTCATTTTCTCTGCACTCTCACACTTTTCAACTCAAGCAGTTGCTAGTAACCAGCACACTTTGGGCTCATTTGCTGCTTGCTCTCATGCAAGCAGAAACGCCTGCAAACACACGCACAGTGCAGCAGTTAACTGACTCTGAGGAGTGACCAGCTTGCTTCCCAGCAGAATGGCACACCTTCCACAGAACACACCATCCGCATAAGCATCTGTGATGGCTTTTTCTATTTCTGAGACATCCGGATCTTCAGCCACACTCCAGAGTATGCCAGCAGCAAAGGTAACTGCTCAGGGAGGGCTCCTTTCACCCAGCTGACTCTGCAGTCCTACCAGCCAACAGCTGTGGATCGTTTAAAAATGCCACTCTCATGTCCCGTAGTTTGGTTGAGCTGAGCTGATTTGGCCCAGTATACCAGCCTTTCAAATCACAACTGGTATTTGATGAGGGAGTGATAAATCTCGTTCACAGGCTTTTAATCATAGGAATATACCAAGAGAGGAGATACCTTTAGTACCAGTCGGGCAGGGGGGGACTGGCCCATTGTACCCAGGGCATTATAAGGCACGCAGGTGTATGTGCCGAGAGCTTCTTCGGTTGCCTCTTCTATTCGAATTGAGCCATCTTCCATCAGGCTCCAGCCAGAATACTGCACAGGAAAGAGAAGAGACTAGATGTCTTGCAGCTTTGAGTTCCACAAAATCAATGTATCGTGTATAGTTATTTTTCCTGTGGCTTAAACCAGCAGTGTGATGTGGCAGCCAAGGGCGTGAACACCACCCTTGGATGCAAAGCCAGAAACGTGGCTTCTAGATTAAGAGAGGCAATATGGCCACTCTATATGACTCTGGTGCACACACAGCTGGAGTATTGTGTTCAGTTCTGCGCCCCTCATTGCAAGAGGGATATATCAAGGTTGGAATCAGTGCAGCACAAGGATGGTGGCTGTTTCGCAGGGTAAATCATATGAGGAGGGACTGAGGGAACTGGGTCTTTCAGCCTGGAGGAGACTCAGAGGGGACCTGTTAGTGACATACAGGCACGTGAGGGGGTGCCATACAGAGGTGGGTCATGGCCTTTTTTCCCCTGCACTGGAGGGCAGGACATGTTCCAGTGGAGCAAAGCTCAGGGAACCAAGATTTATGGTGGATGCCAGGAAGGGCCTCCTGATGGTTAGGACCCTGAGGGTATGGAATGGGCTTCCACAGGAGGTGGTTGAAGCCCCAGTGGTGAGGGTGTTTGAGGATAGGCTGGCCATGCACATGGTAGGCATGTCTGAGTGGAGCTGGCTGGAGACGGGGGTCAGACTAGATGGCCCAGGAGGCCCCTTCTGACTCACTCGTTTCTATGTTTCTGTTTGGTTTAAAAGGATGGGTGCTCTCTGGATTAAGTGTGCAGGTCTGTCCAATTCAGCTGGCTCTTAAAATAGGATTTTTGTCATGCTTTTCATTGGTCAGTAGGCACCTCTGTAGTGCTGTTTGCAGTACCCAGGGACTGGAGGAAGAACTACACTTTCTAGGATTCTTCTTCCAGACTCATTCTGTAATACAGCACAGGCGTTGAAGTCACAATTTGAGGAGGAATATCAGAGTGGAGAGGTGGAGCTTTTAACATTGTTTTTGGCTGAAGGTTCTCTTTCTCCCATACGTACACATATGTGGCGCTTAGGACTGCAAATTATACAGGTACCTCGGGGGCACCTGAAGACCTATTCACTGTGCCACAACCCTGATCTGCGGAAGGAAGGAAACAGCCAAACCAGAATAGAAGCCTTTTATATAGTAATAGGCCAGAGAAGATAATATGGCAAGACTGTTTCTTATAAAAGTTGGTTTTATTTGGTTGAGTTTAGTTTAGTTCATTACATGCATGTATTGCTTCAAACAACCAAAGGAGTCCAGAAGCAATTTACACAGAAATAAAAAGAGCAAACACAAAGCCACCGAATGTAATATGCAATGACATATTCATTAGAACCATGCACATTTATAAAGGTATCCATTAAAAGTCCATGTGGAGAAGAAAAAAACATCCTCCATCCAGCACTGGAAAGAAACATTAAAAATAACTGGGCCATTAAACTGTGCACATGCCTGGAAAAAGAGGGGTGTCTTTGAGACTAGATGTCTAAAAGATGGCAGAGTTGGTTCCAGCTGTATTCAGGCAGATTCCTGTAGGAAATGTGTTCCTTGAGCATCCTGGTTCTGTGACGATGTGAGGCTTTATAGGGAAAACAAGCACTTGTGGTTTGAATTTACTCATTGGTCCAAGCCATGGAGGGAGTCTGCCTCAATGCCAGACATCAGGCAGCAGAAGCTGGGTCTGAAAGCTTTCTTGAACTTGGCAAAAGATCACACTAAAATAGTGATGGGGACCTCAGCTGCCCCAGACTGAAGCCCAGGCACTTGGGATTCATGGTTCTTAGCCAGGTGGTGGGTCAGAGCACCTTCAGCAGGTTCTGGTCCCCATGGTCTCTCTACATATGCAGAGCTTTCCACTGCTGACTCCTGAACCAGGCTGGTTCAAGAGTAAGCACGCAAACTGTGGCCTGGTGATGCCACTCTCCTACAGTTGTCCTCCCTTCCAGATGCCCAAGACTTTTCAAAGAACCCCTTTCATGAACCCCTTCCAGATTCCACAGTCTTTTCCAGGATCTTGGCAGAGTGGGATGAATCCATTCCCAGGTTCTACCAGCCTGTTCCAGGGTGGAACCACATGGTTTTGCTCAGCCCTATGGGAAATTTTCCATATGCTGCCCAAATCTACATGCATCTTGTTCTCACAGCATGCTGGGAAGGAGGGACTGAATCGCAGCCAGTGCAAGTGGCTTAAGAAACTGCTTAGCCCTGCTCCCAGCTCTCTTCCTTGTAGTTTCTGCTAAAATGCAAAGTTGCAGTCACAAAAATTGAGTGTGATGCATCTAGTGAGCACCAGGAAGAAACAAACAGGATGGTGGCTCCCTAGAGTTGGCAGGGCTTCATAAAGCAAACTCCCTTGTCAACATTTTGGGCTGCTTTTGCAATCTTTTCAGTTCTGTCAGCTGGGAGAGGGCCAGTTTCATAATTGGCCTGCTTGGATGGCACAGATGGATTGCTTTGGGGAAACACGTTGACATAGAGCCCTGCTAATGAGATGTGGACAATTGCTCCTCTTGGCATTGGCTCGAATCTAGCTCAGGTCAGGAGTGCTCAACAGCCATGGCTATCTAATGGCTGTTTGTGGGCTTCAAACAAAAACATTCCCATAAAACAGGGGTCTCCAATTACTCCCATTATCATTACAGCCAGGACGAAAAAACTTCTGAAGAAAACTGTAGTTCCAGCCCGGATTCCAGCACACATTACTTTACTCCCAAGTAGGTTGCCCTGGCCAAGCGCATGCAGCAATCTGTGCTCTCTCCACCATGTTTCTGGGCCAAATTTAAGTTGCTGCTTTCGACCTATAAAGCCTCAAATGATGTGGAACCGAGTGATTCAAAGGACGGTCTGTACCTATGCAAACCCAGCTGGCATTAAAATCCGTTCAGAGACCATGCTTGTAGGACTGTCGATAAGATTAATTTGGTTGATGGAGAACTGAAGCAGAGTTCTTTCAGTGGTTGCCCCACTGTTTTGGAGCTCCTTCACCGAATTGCACATGGCCTCAACTCTGAAAATACTAAAATGGGGTTTTAAAACATTTGTTTGTTTATTTGTTTAATTTCAGGCTGCTTTTTCTTGAATTGGAACCTTTATCTCTACAGCTTTTAAAATTAAGCAGTCACAGGTTTAGCATTTCTATTTATTCAGTTTGCTATTTTAGCAATCTATTCAAAACGACCTATGTTTTAAGTAATTTTTATCCCACTATCTTTGAATTTGTAATTTCGTTTCACTGTGTTTTCGCAGTTATGTTTGCGAGCTGCCTGTGACCTGGAAGGTGGCCGAAAGATAAGTACTTGCATAAATAATAAATCGCCCCATTTGTGCCTGCCTCACTCCATAAAGCTGCCTGTATTGGATCAGACCACATGGACTTGAATTGTTTTTCCAACAGGGGGCAACCGGATGCCTCATTATGCAAGATGGAGGCACCTGGTCTACCTGGGAAGGCACTTCCTTTGAATATATACCATGCCTGCCTTATCTCTTGAAAGGTCCACATCTACGGGGAGCTGGTGCCAAACTGAGTGGGCCAGAAGCAACTGTCCAATCAGGGGTCCAGTTCCACAGCAGCAATCCAGCACCAGGATTGGGTGCAGATGCTTTGGAGGTTTTTGAGACTAATTTTTTTTTTTCTTTTGTAGGGCCTGGTAGTCAAGGATAGACTCTAGAAGTCAACTGACTGAGTACCGACACTGATAAAACTCTCCTGTATGAACCTGTCTACTCTGACACACAAAGAACATCTTGGAAGGAACAATCCTCAGCACAGACAAGTAGAAAGCAGGTCTGTTTGTTTTCTGTGTAAGTAAATTGAGTGTTATCACTACAGAAATTTATTGCACAAATGGCAGTCTTCATAAGGATATGTCAAAAGAAGGAAAACTGACTTATTTGAGTTCAGCAGATTTTCTGCCCACTTCTGATCTGACGAGCAGAAGCAGGCCAGGTTGAGGTCTTTTTTCCAGATTTCCATCTCTAAGCTAGACCACAATTTGTGTATGTGCACACAACAAATCTGCACAAATAAGCAACTGAAAATGGCATCCAAGTAGCACAATTTGTGCAAATTACCATTTTGTGTAAATCAGCTGATACTGTTTGCAGATGTCCTAACAGCCACGTGGTTTCCAAGTGCTTATTTGTACAAATCTCATTAGTGATTAAAAATATGTGATCGTGGCCTGCCTTTAGAAATGAAAATTGGATTGACTTGGCCGGGGAGGAGGGCTAACAAACTGGAATTCAGGGTGCAGGGGAGGAATCTTGAAAGTCCATCAAAATTCATCCTCTGTCAGATTCATAGAATCATAGAATATCAGAGTTGGAAGGGGCCAAAGGCCGAGTTCAACCCCAGCTGTTGCAGGACACCACGTCACACCCTCCCACTCAGAGGGCTGTCCAGGTTCTTTCTGAATGCCTCCAGTGTGGGAGAGCCCTCCACCTCTCTGGGCAGCTGGTCCCACTGTTCATCACACATTTGTGCTCCTATACAAAAGGGGCAGGGCTGTGATCTTTGCAAATGTTAAGCCCTTGCAAGCTCTTCAGTGGTAGGGTAGGCATATACAGAAATCGACCCGGAGGAAATTAATGGGGCCCAGCTTTGGCTGAATTGTTCCTGGTCAGCAATCTCACCCAGGCTGAAGTCCAAAGCCATCTCAGCAGACAGCCCACATTTGGAACAGTCAGACCATAAGCCTTGAGCTGTTAATATTTAAAGAAACCTCTAAATAGTGAGTAATTTGTTTTAAATATTTAAAAGAGTGAACTCTTTGATAGGATGTTATAAGCAAAGTAATAGCAGGATGGCATCTTGTTAAAGAGGATCTTTTGGGTGCCAAGTTCCCATTTATACTAATATCTCCAGGATGACACTTTATAGTTCAACCAATGTTCGATTAATGGTGCTTATCTCTTTCAGTGACAGGAGAAATGAACTCCCCGTGAGACCCTAGATAGCAAGATGGCAGCTGATTAGATTGAAGAATTCAAAATACCGGACACGTGTCTTTGCTTCTTGAAGTGAAGAGTCTTCCTCAAGGTGACAGCAGGGCATTTGGGGCAGCCAGAAACCAGGTGTGGTTCTCTTCCCCACCACTTTCCCAAGGGGGTGAAAGTCTTATGATTTCTCAGGTGGGTGACTACAAGTGGCCATGACTGCCCCTGACATCCTGGGTTTCTTGGTATTTCCTGCTGAACCTTTTACATTTCTGAGTTCAGCGATGTTGCTCGCACATGCTTGGAAATGAAGATCAAATCCCCTTGGAAATGCATTAAGTAAGTTGTCCCCAGTCCTTTGCTCTCCAGATATTTTAGACTGCAGATACTGTCATCCCTGACTCTTTGCCATGTAGACTGTGGGTAATGGGAACTGCAGCTCAAAACAAGGCATTATTCCCATGGAATTCAGTTCTCATTTTCAAAGAACACAGTACTTTACATGGTTAAGTAAAATGGACAAGCTTCGCATCACCTTTTCTGGAGTTTACTTTACTTAGGTAAGCCATCATCTCCCTACCCAAAGAGGCTCCAGTTCAAATCCCCATTCAGTCACAACACTTCCTAGGAGATCTTAAGCCAGTCATTTTCTCTCATGCCAAACTACCTTACCAAATTGTTGTGAAGAGGAAATGAAGAGGGAGAATCATGACCGCCACCCTGAACTCCTTGGAGGAAGGGTAGGATATACACACAATGCATGCTCGCAGTCCTTTACCAAAAGAGCCTGCTAGCAACTCATTTTACCTTCTCAATGTGCAGAGGGCGTCCATCTTTGTTCCACTTGACCAAGGTAACCGGCGGTTCTGCCTCAACTGGGCAGCGGATGTATCCATGTATCCCCACAGGAACATATATGATGGGTGGCATGTTCACCACCCGGGCCGGATCTGGGACAGAAGCAGCCAGAAGTTATGAAAAGTTTTATTTTTGGTTTAATCCGACCATTTCCTTTAGCTTCTGGATAGGAGCAAGCAGGGTCAGTAACATCTCTATAATGGAGTTCAACACCCACATGCTAATTCACAAACGTTCATAATAATCCTGTCTCCAAAGTCCATTATCTTTCTGCTCATTATTTCCCCAGATCTATTAGAATAACACTAAGCAATTACATGAAGCTTTAGTCATTGGGATAATTTCATGTTGATCAATCTGTGCTAAGCTCTAGCAATGTGACATCTATTTGGAGTGGGATGGGGCGGGAGACATAAGCATACACACATTCACACTTTCAGCTTTGCCCTCCATGACCAGCATTAAAATATTTTACTTTGCTATACATTTTTTATAGTTTCCCATTCAGCATTTAGCATTCAACTTTTGCAAAATCTTCTGCAGAAGAAAGAGAAATAGAAGCACCATTGAAATTAATTAGAACAAGTGACTGTCCGCTTTGCCACATGGTACTAGAAGCTGTCTGAAGCGAATTTTAAGGTTTCTTTAAAAGGTTTTCTATTTGGACAAAACACTGAGAGCGAGTATTTTGGGGTGCATGCCTGGCATGCATTAAGGTGCTATTGTGTTTCACCTCAGATGGAAATACAGGCAAAGTTGGGAGGCCCTACCTGAGAGGCAACAGCTGAATGAAAGAGGGAAAGCATCGATAAGCCTAGTGAAATTTCTCGAAGGCAATGAGGCTTACATCTTTCTCTCAGATCCATTTTTAACGTGGACCAAACAAAAGCTGCTTGTGATCTGATTTTCAGAGGGTCAAGGTCACAGTGTCACTGTGTCTATTTCTTCCTTGCTGCTCATTCTTTCTTCCTATCCGATGGCCCAAAGAAGGTGTTCGGCCTCATCCAGCAACTGCTGCAGGAGGGCAGGCAACAGTATCGCGCACACACTGAGCCTTGCTCGCGATCCCTCTTTTTGTGGGCAACTCCAGCCTCCACCCAAGGAGCTCTGGATAGCAAAGCAGTGCTGCAATGAAGTGCTGCTCAGGAGGAAACCAGGCCAGAGGAATTAAGGAGGAGGAGGGCAGAGTGAAGAAAGACAAGCTGGCCACTTGGAGCAAGGCTGGGGGGTTGCACAAGGGTGGCCAATACCAGGGCCCACTCAGAAGTATTTGAAGCTGGTGCAGGTCAGAGGGAATCAAACAGGGACCCAGGGAAGCTATCGCGCCCTTCTTCTTTCATCCTTCATCCTTCACTGGTTCCTTGGAAGAGTCCCAGTGGATAAGTTAGGAGGTTCGCCATTCAAATCTTGGCTGATTCTGACATCCTATTTGGGTTGGCACCACAGTCCCATAACCTAGTCCTTTCAAATCCTCCCTTTCGTGCCACCCCTTTTGCATCTGTCCATCATCCACTTAGCCAAGTCAATGCCCGCTCAGATTAGCAGCACTGGAGAACAGAGACCATCAGCTTCCCTTATGTCCTCATCTTTCTAACCCAGCAGCTATATTGAAATGCCACATTCATCCGCTCTCCTTCCTCTCTTCCCAACTTCCCTGAGGTTCTTTGGTGGGTGGGGTGGGAGCTAAAAAGGCAGCAGTAATTCCCAGAGTCAAACCCAGAGTGATTGAGTGACGGCACCATTGTGAAGGATTTTGGATCTCTCTGTTCTGTGATTGATGGTAACATTAACAAGTCAAAAGGAACGGGAAAATAATCCTCATTATTCTGGTTTTAGAGGGTGTTATGTTTGTTTCTTTTCATTTTCTAAATGTGACCTGCTGGTACCAATTTTTAAAAAGAAACTCAAAACACTACAAAAGGCATTAAAGATTAAAAACAAAATGTTTAAAATTCATATCTGAGCCAAAGATATTCTCTCACAGCAATGTTCTGGTAGCATTCGGTGTGCAAATTCTGAGCAGAGATAATTGTACATTTCTGAGGAAGGAAAGGGGATTTTCAATCATTGTTTTTCTCTGGCAGTATTTTATGCATGTGCGCACGCACACACACACGCGCGCACACACACACAAATGCCACCCACCCACCACACTTTGCGGACTGCAAGCAAGGAACAAGCATCTATCAAGGTCACCTGATTCTGACTGTGGCATCATAACCCAGTTTCCCATCCAGACCATAATAAAGAACTTGATTTGTGTACACACCATTTAGTGCCATGTCTTAGGAAATGTAATCAACACAGGCTCAAAGGATTGATAACGGGACACTGAGCTTTTTCACTTCTAGGTCAGTGGGCGGCATCCAACTCGGTTGATTAACGAGTGGCCAAAAGCCGTCACCATCTGACAGTTACTTGGGCAATGCTGAATGAGATCGCTTTCTATCCAGACAGAGCCAGAGACATAAAAGTGACCAGGAGCATTAAGAGATAAAAGTGATGTTCCTTCCCCTCCAAGTTTACAGTGCGAATGCCAGATTCATAGATTCATATGGCAGCAAAGGACTAATAGCAAGAAAGAGGTTCTAATCCTCAGCAAAGAAAACGAGCCGCCCTCTTGCAGCTAACCCATTCGGTCTCCATCCCCCAACTCACTTCTCTGCAATGAAATCCTCTTCTCTTTCTCAGCTGAGATTTTAAAACATGGTTCATTATTGCACAGAGGTTAATGTGAACCATCATTAGCTTTATCCAAGTATAAACTCTGTACAAATGCAACATGAGAACATAATTGAATTAAATTGTGGAAGGGAAAGGGGGATTCGTACAAGAGAAAGACAGATGAGCTTGCAGCACACTTGCAAAACTAAGTCACAGTTAGAGGATCAGAAGCATTACTTCTGCAGTGGAACATATTGCTATGCTATGTTGTGCTATGCTAAGTAAATAATACTAATATTATTAATATTTTGCTACAGTGCTCTATGCTTGAAAAGAAGTATGATATGATATGAAACATTATTATTGATGATGATGATGATGATATTTTGTTACCGTTCTCTGTGTTTGAAAAGAAGGTTTATTTGTCCAGGTAGAATAGGCCAAAACTAACCATCCTTACCCCACAGAAGCCTCCCGCAAAGATTACAAACCAGGTTTGTAATCCTCCCAGCTGCATGTCAGTTGAGGCTCCTCACTTCCCTCTGGGCTTATAACTTTTGAGCACATCAGACCAGCCCCAGCGCCCCTTCCAGGCTCAGCTAGTCTGGCTGGGCCTGGGGGCCACTGAAAGCTGCCTATGCGGCAACACCAAAAACCACTTTGGAGCTACAACAGAATACAAACGGGGCCTGAAACGAGTATGCACTGATGCAGTGAGCAACCCACATGGCAAGCTCGAGCAGACCTGTGCTTGCAAACATTTCTTCCAGTTCCTCATCTGTGGCTTGGATTCTGCCAAAGTAAAGCTTGGACTGCGAGCTATCTGGGACGGGGGTGGGGGGTGGTTGAGAGGAGCAGATTTCAAAGAGAGCTTAGCAGATTGGAAGTGCCAGTATAATACAAATGATAAAATAAAACCTGATGGGCATGCATTCTGCCTGAGCAAGGAGTGGCAGATTAACTCTCCCCTGAGACGTCTAATACTGACATGATACTCCACTCTGAAGCATCTGCCGCTTGATTCAATATGGCAGCACTAGGTAGCATTGCATTAAACAAAGCAATTAACCCAGCAACTGTCCCAATCAGCCTATGTCTCGTAAGTCCCTGTAATTTAGGTGCGATTTATTCTCCATTCTCCGGACAACTGCTGTGCAAGACTTGTTATTGCCATGCCCATAAAACGTTACAGGGAATCTGCACAGAGATGCTGCCAGCCACATTTCATGGAGCAATATGATCTATCATCAGCTGTCATCACGTATTTGTTAACGCATCGCCTAACCCTCCTCGGTTCACCTCCGACAAACACACTCACATTGCACCGTCAGGTAAGCCGAGGCAGATGGTGAGCGTCCGAGGCTGTTGCTAGGAATGCAGGTGTACTTGCCGGCATCTTCAGGCTTGACTCGGAAGATGATCAGTGTCCCATCAATCAAGATCCGCACCCTAAGCTTTAGGTCACTGTAAAATTGAAGGAGAGCAAGGAGGTCAATCCATGCTGGGTCACATATCCCCGCTATCTGGGCAAACAGGCGCCTGGTGTGCAGGGCCGCTAGCTCTCAGAAGCGTGAAGTAAGGCCAAATTACGTTTGCTCTTGCGAGTGTTATATTGTTTTTCCCTCCTTTCTTGCTTGCACCTGTTCTGGGAATATGCTACAGTGGGAAATGATTAAGAAATGACTCAGTGAAATAAATAACAGTACATGGGTTTTCTGATGCTGGGTACAATTGATAGCAAAAGGGGAAGGGGATGGCAGAGGATGAGGGGGCTGGATGGAGCCACACTGGAGTGTGGGCTTGGTGGACTCCCAGGAATGGTGGAGGACAGGAGAGCCTGGAGGAATGTTGTCCATGGGGTCGTGACAGGTCAGGCATGACTTTTTGACTAAACAAACAAACAAAAAACATGGGTTTTAAAAATACTAATTATTAGTACTCCAGGGATCACCCAGTGAACTAACGGCAGAAGATTCTAAGACCAAGTCCTTGTTTGCACAAGTCTTATTTAGATCATGCGATTCATCAGAAAGGGGGTGAGACACATACCTTGGGAAGAGACCTAGTAATGGCTTTTAGCCATGATGGCTAAATGGAACCTCCATTACCAGTAGCAGTGCGACACTGAATATTAATTGCCAGGGGAGGTGGCCGGCCCTACCATTAAGTACAGTGAGACAGCTGGGAGCTGGCAGCAAGATGCTGGCAGAGGGACTTGTGAGCCGCACAGCTCTAAGTTAGCAAGCTACGTTCAGCTGCGGTGCAGATGTTGTCTCATCATCAGTGCAGAAGACAGACTCATCTGCAAGCTGAGGCCACTTTTGCAGACAGAAAGGCAGGCAATGCGATTGTGTTCTTTGCTTCAGGCCCTGCAGCGGGGAAGCTTGAAGGCATCCGGTTGCCCATGGTGGGAATCACAACACTAGACTTAGTAGACCTTTGGTCTTATCTAGGAGGACCCTTTGCAAATCCTTAAAGACTTGGTTCCCTCCTTAGGAAAGAGCACCCTCTTTAGAAGGACAATGTATTTCACTGAAAAATATTCTGTCAGAATCAGCCTGGAGTACTTTTCTCATTGAAGAGCACCCTTGGAAAAATTCATGCCAACAAACATTATGTTGGAACACATCATCAGCATTGTCATAAATCCATAGTGTGGAACTTTTCCCTTGAAATATACGTATGAATGTCATAATTTACCTAGTGCTCTCTTAAATACTCCTGCAGGAATATTTTGAGGGAGGAGTAATGTTATACCTGAACTGCACTGAAAAGGAAGTCCCAGGAGAAACATTTTCACTTCTCTGCCTGAATAATATTTAAAAAAAGGGAAACAAGGGGTCTTTCCAGGACAACAGGTCCTCCCAGACGGGAAGGATTAACTAGTATGCCAAGTACACAGAAGAGCAGAGGAATCCAGCTGTGCTTTAATTATTAGAGTTTCCTCAATTTGAAAAGCCCATTCTCCTTGTTCCCTGAAGTGGGCTTCTTGAGCATCCCCTGTGGCTTCTCTGGTGCTTCTTTCCTTTTCGCAAGGCAAACGTTCACAACTGGGAGAAATAATAAACACTGCTGATAATCCTGACCAGAAAACATGCAGATTATCCCCTGGACTGCAAAATATTTTACACCAAGGGGAATCTGTGTTAGTTTCTTAGAGCAAGACCAACAGTCCTGAAACACTTTAAAGATTAATACATTCATTGCAGCAGAAGCTTTCATGGATGGAAGTCCACTTTAGCAAATGCATACATTGGTTTGCCAGGTTTAGTAGCATGTATACACAGTAAATTTTGGAAAGAAAGTTCATGTTGACCTTTACTAGATAATCTTAAGACTAGGTGAGACCAAGCAGAGAACCTCAGATATTTGGCTCAGTGCAGATGTAATAATGATTCCCAACAGGGTTTCTATAACAAAAGTCAGCCTTGGAAAAACTCTCTCTTCCTGCCTCTTCTTTCTCTCATCCTTGTTGTCCATGGTGCAGCATTACAATCACATATCACCAGTGATCAGTATTTGCAATAGCCATGATTCCCACATAAACAAAAATTGCAAAGCATGATCCGAAGTGGGTTTGCAAACTATGCAAATGAGGAAGCCTTGCAAGAATAAATCATTGTTTGTCTCGGCAAAGCAAAGTTAAGGAAATTCAATCCAAGGAAAGGACGGAAAAGGAGGAGATCGCATACATCCAAATGCAACTACAAGTAGTTATTTCTAGGACGCTGCATCTGCACCAGACTCTGCATTCCAAACTTGCATTTTTACATTTTTCTTTGTGCCATGGTTCAACATCCTTTCTTTTTAAACGATGGAAAAGAAGATGGCTTTGAAACAGTTACAGAATAAACTTAGCTTTGCCTTTTACTGGTAACTCTCACAGTTTCTGAGATGTTTCTCTCTGGGCCAAATAAAAATAACTTAAAACTTAGCAGTAAGATCAGCATACACCCATTTTCTGACATTTGCCACAATGTAGAGATTTCTACTGACTTAGATGACTATTTCGGGCTTTTGATAGAGAAATCGGCTGTAGGCGTCACATGCATGCTTGTGCCATGATCAATGTACCAATCTATACAGAGACATAAGACTCTGCTGTCAAAACAAATGACATAGTTGTTTTGAAATTTCCACTCTTTAATGGAAGAGATGATGAGTATTCTATATATACAAGCATTATTTCATTGTAAGGGGTGTCTATGTATGCTTGTTTTGCATCAGTAGACAGTGGAAAGCTTGAAACACAAAGCTTCAGCAATTATTTCTACAGCATTTCTGTATTTTACAAAAAATCATCGTGGTTGTTTTCCTGTAAACAACCACAGGAAACCACAGGAGCTGGTGCAGCTCTTTCATTGTCTCTGAGCCAAAGCATTTTGGCCAGTGGGGCTGGAGGCCATGTTTAGATTTCTAGATCCAATTTTGTAATATAGCTTAAGGTGCTGGTGTTGACCTATAAAGCCCTAAATGGCTTGGACCAGGATACCTGAAGGAGCGTCTTCTTCCTTATATGCCCTCCCACCCCTTAAGATCTGAGGCAGAGGCCCTGCTCCGGGAACCCTCTTTGAAGGAGGTCAGGAGAGCAAATACTCAGAGGAAGGCCTTCTCTACAGTGACGCCCCAACTGTGGAATTTGCTCCCCAGAGAGATTCACCTGGTGCCAATGTTATATTCCTTTCGGCACCAGGCAAAAACCTTTTTATTTGCCCAACATTTTAATATTTAAATATTTTAACTTGGTTTTAACATCATATGTTCAGCTATGCTTTGTTATGCTTACTATGTTGTATTTTGTTATAATTATTCTTTGTTTGATTATGTCTTGTTTGTAAGCTGTCCTGGGATGTTTTGTAAAGGACGGGATATAAGTATTGTAATTAAATTAAAATTAAATTAACATCAGTAGTGCCTGTGCTAAATGCATGGCTAACGGCAGCAGGAAGAAGGAGCACCACAAGGCCATTCTGGCTCCAGCCACCTGTTCCGAACAGGTTCCCCTGCAGGCCCCAACAGGTGGGTCTGAACTCACTTCTTAAAGTAGACATTCTCTTCTTCCCAGTACCAAGTATAGGTCAGGTTGCCTGGATATGCCTCAGCCTGGCAGGTGAACATTGCATCCTGGGAGATGTTAACGGTGATGTTCTCCGGAGGGGAAACGATGAAAGGGGGTCCTGTGGGAGAACGAGAAACAAACAGTTACCTCAGCAGCTGAAAAGGGGAAGATGAGCTCATAGGCAAGAGTGAATGGCCGGCAGGGCAGGGAGCAGAGGTGAACAGCAGAAAGTGGCTCTCGCGGAAGGAGGAAGCCACCAACTAACAAAGGCAAGCTTTCTCACAGAAGCGCGCACACGCACACACCCCTTCAAGGGCAAACATAAGGCTCAAGGTGTGTTGGCATGACTGCCACTCCACTGCATCCCATCCGTGGATTCCTGAAAGTGCCAAATCCTACTTTTTCTTAGAAATTATACAAAGAAGAAAACAAGGTGCTTCTGGCCATCACACCTATGTTCTTTGATATGTCTTCAGAAAAATGCTATAGGCAGTTCTGTACACTGCATCTAGGGCAGAATTCAAGGCATGTTTGCACAAAAGAATGCCCTTAAAGATTTGTGAGACCAGAAATTCAGCAGGTAAACTTTTTCCTAACTGGCAGGTAAGAAAAGCACCGTGGAACTGACTTCTCTGGCACAATTGCAAAAGGTACATTCCCAAAATAAAGTGTAATTTGGCAACATGCTAAAAATAAAGTGCGTAAAAACACACATTATATGCAAATGTGTAAAAAACGGACATGGAAGGAACAATATTAATGTTGCACATTCAAGACAACCTAAGTTCATGCTGAGCTAAGCTAAACACTGCTCATGACAGCAAACCCTTTGTGGAGGGAAACCATGTGTGCAAATAACTGTGTATTATTTTCATGAAACAGCATCCCTGCTCTTAGAAGGGGATGCATTTTAAGTTTCCCTCTGCAGGGACATAAATTACCCAAACAAACAAACAAAACCCAAAATGCTTGATGCTGGGTGCGCTAAAGACACCTCTCTTTGCTTCTGTACCTTGCTTCCCATTTAGATGAAATGAGTGACGGGATGACTGTAAATCAGGATGACTGCTTAATCGGGATGACAGGGCCCTCCACAAGGGTGTTCCAGTAAATGGATTTTGGTATAACACTAATAAGATGCAGAGCCATTAACAGCTACTGCAGCAGGCATCCTCCACACGTGCGTTTTGGCCATGGAGGAAATTAACCCGGCACTTTCTGTAGGGCATTCTCAATCTCCCCCACCCATACAGCCTGACCCTATATTCAGCACAGGCAAGGGGGTCTCGCCCCGCATTTCATTGCTCTCTCTCTCTCTCTCTCGCACATGCATGCACAGGGAAAGAGAGAGAGCATTCAACCCATCTCCCCCCAGTATTCCTTCACATCAGGGTCAACAAAGGGCAGGATGCAGGGGAGGGCAATTGTAAGGGGAGACAGGAAAAGCTGCCTTCTCCGTGGTGAGGTGAGCTGAGAGTAGGGTCACCATTCTGCTTCCACCATGGTAGCATCCTCAACTTCCTTCTGTGCAAGAGAATGATTTCCAACGACTCTTGCAGCAAAAGGGCTGCACTGAATGAAGGGGAGGGCAAACACCCACCCTCTGCCCATGAACACCCAGCTGCCTGCTGCTCCCTTAGAGAGATGCCAGCTGCATCCGTTATGAGCAACCAAGCAGAGGTCCCACGCACACGAACCTCTCCCATCGCTGGCGATCCCAGGACTCTCTCCCTCTGCACGCCTGCTCCTGTCTCTTCTGCACACTCCTGGTTTTAAGTAAGAATGAGAACCCTCCACCCCTCAAGCAAAGGGACTGGATTACCAGTGAGATTGCCTTTTGACAGGGTAGTCATACACCCTATTTTATAGAGGACAGTCCTTTACGTGAAGCTGTCCTCTGTTTGGAAAACAATCTAGCCCATGGCCAGTTGAAGGATAAAGAACTACAAGAAAGGTGTAGGGAGTTTACTTCTTTATCTGTTGATTGCATTTCCATACCATTAAACAGCCTTTGGGTTGCCCACCAGCAGTTGCTGAGCAGCAGTCCGTATAAGGACACAGGTCACCTGGACATGTGGGCTATTGGTATGATCAAGCAGCCCCCTGTGGCTTGCAGAGGGGTGGGTGGCCATCTGGAACGTTCCAGGGTCTCCTGCAGCTTGTCCTGCCATGTGAAGCCAGCTGGGCTGCACTGCCACATGGGCAACAGGCCACTCACAGCCATAAAGCAGCCAATGGGTGGGGGTGGCTTGTTCAGCGGGACAAGTCATGCTTTCTTCGTGCGTATTTTTATGATACAAGCATCATTTAATGCATTTTCTTTGCCTATTAATGTCTGCCGAATGTTGTGTTCTGCACACTTTTCTTAAATATGCACATTTAGGAAAGATCTCCCCCTGCAAAATGAACTGCATTGGAAAGATCAGATTTTGAAAAAGAGTATGTCTCAGCTCACTGAAAGGCTTACGTGATGTACATTGGATAAATCCATTGAAAAACCAGGAGCAAATTTTCCGACCAACCTGATCACACATGCAATACAGCAAAAAGCCATATCATAAAGTATGCCAAAGCCCAACTGAAAAATGAACTATCACATTATTTATGTATTTCCTGTGTGGGCCTCCCTTCTACCAAAAAAGGACAACGAAGAAAATGCTGGCACCCACAGTAAAAGGACAGGTGCAGGATCGGTGCCCGGTTCTCTGCCCAGGTTTCTTGCAGGGTCTTTTGTCTGAGGAGGAGCAGGGCAGGGAATGCAAAGCCCTCTCAACCCCAAGATTTACCTTGCACAAGCAAGCGGGTGGTGTGCACAGCCTCTCCCTGGATACTGTACGCCCGGCAGGTGTAAGCACCTCGGTCATCCCTACTGATGGATACAACAGTCAGACTGCCATCACTAACCTGCAAAGAAGAACAAGGAGGTGGAGGTGGAAGGAAAGGGAACACCAGGAGGAAAGTTAAGCACATAGAATCATTGCAGTTATAAACCCAAACAAGCTTCCGTATTGCTGGAGGGCCGGATCCTGCCTAATCTTGCAAGCTAAGCACAGTCTGGCCTGGTTGAAATCTGGATGGGTGACTTAAATGTTGTGAACTGCCCAGAGAGCTTCAGTGATGGGCAGTATAGAAATGTAATGTAATATAATAAAGATAAAAACACACAAATCAAGGCCAAACTAGGTATGAAATTATTGGCATCTTTGCATTGGCTCCCCGTGCAAACACATACTTTGTAAGAACATTCTTCTCCTGCTTTTTCAGGAAAATGCATTTAAGAATGTAAGTTGGCCAAATCGTCTTAGGCACCCTTTGCCAACCTGGCTCCAACACTCCCCAGATGTGTTGAGACTACAGCTCTCTTCATCCCAATCACCAGTAACTCTGGCTGGGGATGATGCTGGTTGTAGTCCAACACATCTTGGAGGGAGCCAGGTAGGTGAACAATGCTATATCCTAATTAATCTTTTTGTCAGTGGTTAAATCCCCCCTTGCTGCATGCCGCTATTGTTATTTCATGTATTTTTATTTCATGATCCACACACACACACAAACACACAGTATTTTTTTTCCTGCAAGAAACCCAAGCTGGCTCATACAACCCTCCTCTGCATTTTGCCTTCACAACAAGCCTGTGAAAGAAGTTAAACCAGTGAGAGCCAGTGACTGACCCAAAGTCACCCAGTGAGCTCCATCACCAGGTGGATAGTACAACCCAGACCTCCCAGGTCCCCGTTCAACCCTCTAACCACTATGCCACACCATGGATCGCTAACCGTATTTCTTTAACATGTGAGGATGCACTTCAACAGCATGCGGAAACACCAAGAATCCAACCAGTTCACAATCTATGCTAGAGAACAGAACTGTCCATCAGGTGGGACTCAAGGCTGCTGGTGAAGCACTGAGGGACACAGGCGTCTCTAGCAACCCCAGTTTCCAGGCATCGAAGCAGCCCTGTTCAGACAATCAGGCTCCCCATCCACACATACGACAAACATGCCTGCAGTTCTCTGACAGGCTGCCCAGCTTGCCCACACACACACACACACACACACACACACAGGTTCTGCATCGCAAGGCGTGCCACCATGTGCAAGGCAGGGTGTGCCCGTGTGTTTGCACATGCATTAATTGCGTGCATTTGAGGCGAATCCCTGCCTGAACACAGTCATGGACACCTGCCCTTCCCCACCTTGTTACAAGGCAGGTGCGCTACTGACAGCCAGGTGCATGGGTGGCGCGGGGCAGTTCATACTGCAGCACAAAGCCATGATCTCAATTGGTCTTATGTCCCCATCTTTTGCTTAGCAGGTGTGAAAAACGGGAGCAGGAGACTGGGAAGGAGCACAGAGGGGGATAGCATCCTGAGCGGGAGGACGTGCCAGGCTGGAGTTTCCACAGAGGCAATATACACATTTCTCTCACTCCATCTTCTCATTTTCCCACAACACATACACACCGCTAGCACCACCCCACCTGCTGCCATTAGTGACGCTCATTTCCTTTCATCTTTCCAGTGCAATTTGTAATAAATGTCTCCTAATTATTCTGCTTGGTGCCAATTCCCGTGCTTGATTTACCAGTTGCAATTCATATAGAATTCCTGATTGAGTGGAAGACAGAGGCTTTTTGAAGCAGGGGGAGAAAATGGGTTTCTTTTAAGGAAAACAACAAAGGAGGATCCACCGGGCACTCACACCTCAAGACACTGGTGGAAGGAGAACAAAGACCTTAGAAATAAAAACAAGAAAGACTCCATCACTCCTGAGCAGAGCTCGCTGGTGGCAGAAGATGACAGAAATTGTGCACCCCTGTGGAACATGGTGGGACTCTCCAGATGCCCATAAGTACACATGCTTGCAAACAAAAAGAAATCTCAATGCCAACCCACTGAAGAAAATGAACACACACACAGAGCCCAGGGAGATCACAAGACCTGTAAGCTTCAGAACCTTCAACACATTGAAGGCATGGTTGTTCAAACCAATAATAAATAAATATGAAGTTGCCTGTTACCACCAGCCCAATCGTCCATCTAGTCTGGTATTGCTCAGTCCGATAAGCAGGTCTCAGGCTGGGTTTTTTCCCAGGCTGCCTACCCAACATCCATAAACCATCACATTGAATCTGGGATGTTATGCAGAGAAAGCATGCCTCTGCCATGAAGCCATGGACCCTCCAGAGCAGGATCTTACCTGATATTTGTTCTTATTACCCAAGAGGTCCCCCTCTTTTAGCCAGGTAACAGTTGGTTTAGGGTTCCCAAAAGCCATGCACGTCAGGGTAATGCTGCTGCCTTCTTTCGCCTCTACGTATTGGGGGGGAGTTTCTGTGAAGGTGGGGGGAGCTGCCAGGGAAATGCAAAAGAGGTTGAGATGAGCAGGCTGCACAGAGAATGGCTATAGCCATGAATTAGGCACTGGTGGGCTACATGTTCTTGGCACGTGGACCATAGTCCGATAGCGATCATTTACAGCAGTATCAACCTCCTAGCTTTGCTGTGATGTTTCAAACATCTGTAGTCGGAGACAAAACCTTGGTTTTGACTGAGCTCTACGTACGTTGAATCAAAACTGCAAATTCATTCGTGTTTAAACATTGCACAAAAGAGGCTATCATTGCCACAATCATGGAGAGAGGAAGTGTAAATCGTCTTTGTCTTCTCAAAGTATCATTTGAATAATTTGATGAAGGACCCAAAGGAACTTCTTCCTTGTCAAAAAGAAAAGAAGGAGAAGGGGAAGGGGAATGGGAGTCTCCCTGACCTATTCAACCCATTATTACAGCATAACTACCAAACCACAGAGAGGAAATGCAGGGCAGACACTAACACGCCATTTGATTAAGCAGGCTTTTCCAGAATTACAGTATAGACCTAGGCATAAATAGCTGGTAAGCCCAATTTTCTAGGAAGACATTTCAGCAATTTCAATTGACTCTGAAAAGAACTGATTTTGGGTGGCTGCCCTTATGGAGCAGGATTTACTTTCTTAAGAGAAAAAAAATCAACCAGGCTAATATGCTTAGACAGGGAGAGGAGGGTAGGGAGAGAGCTTCTCAGTGCAGTCCTTCAGAATATGAATGCATTCATGTTGCCCTGTTGGACCTAGACGGTTATGTTTTCCATAAGGTTATTAAGCTCCAGAGAAAAGTAGTTAATATCATCTGCAAAGCGGAAAAGCCTCCTTGGGATTAGGGTAGCCGGCCTCAATCTGACAAAGTTCAAATTATCTGGAGGGCATCTCCCACCACCCCTGTACAGCACGCCCAATGCTCAGAAATGTGGGAGTTTTCATCTGAAACATCTGGAGACATGAAGTTGGAGACCGAAGCAGGCACTCCTCACGATGCAACGCTACGTGAAGGATGCTGCAGATAGTGTCTGGGAGTTGCAGTTTCCAGTGTGAAGAGGAGGTCCCCCCATACTCAGCCTCTGGGGCAGAAACCTGGGTTCTCGCTGCCTGGAAACATTTTCTCAATGCAAGTGGAATGCAGAGAACTGGGGCAAGTTGTGGGCCTATTCTTAGGATAGCATCTGACCCAGCAAACAAAACTTTTTGCCAGCCCTTGCCATTCCTGGGCAGGCATGCAAAGTGGGCACCTAAATGAGAATTCTGCCTCCCTTGCGAAAATCAGCTGTCCTGAACTTGGCACCCTCCAGATGTTTTGGACTCCCAGCTCCATCCGCTCTACCCAGTGAAATCAACAGTTAGAAATGCCAGGAGTTGCAGCCAAAAGCATCTGCATGGCCCTGTGTTGGGGAAGGCTGCTCACAACCCTCTGATGTGTTGACTGGGCAGCAAAGTCCCAGCCCTCTTGCTGTGTCCAAGGCTTTTGCGTACAACAAAGACTGGCCATGCCTGGCTTCTCTGAGGATGTCCAGAGTGAACAAAAGAATTCCTTCCAGTTTCTGCAATCCAGTCAAAAATCCACGCACAATAGTTTCAGAGTTTTACAGCACAGAGCCAAGTTGTCCAGCCATTCTTAATGTTGATGCTGCCTCTTCGAGAATGTAACATCACATCAGACAATGTTCCATAGATGTTCCAGCAAAGCTGCATGGGGATCAAAGGAAGAGGACTGTACTGTTGGCAACAAGGGAACAAAGCAGTGCTCAAGGACACAGATTCTCTGAAGATCTTGCCACGCATCTCATGCCCAGTTCCCATTCGTGTTTGTGATTACTACTTGCTCTGCACAAATGGGAAAACTACACAAAGCAAGCAGTGATCCAAGATGAAATTTGCACAAACTTCTCTACATGTATGACATTTCCCTAATCTGTACAACTTTCCTCTGTAGTTTAAAGTGGAGCCATTTCAGGCTACAGGGAAATTTGTGTGATGTCAGACTGGACAATTTGCACAAACTGAATGTGAGCACAAGCCCAGTAGTTTGCAAATGTTTTCAATGGACAACTGGTTGTGATCCCATCTGAGACTTTGAACAGCATATGCTTGCATGTTTTGCAAGCACAAATGAAATCCTCAATTATCCATAACTGCCACACAAACATACACTGATATAAAACATGCCCATTCCTGGAACTTTAAGCTCCTCTCATGCTGCTTCTATTATTGTTGGATAGCTTTTGATGCAGGAGGAAGGGAAAAAGCAAGGTAACAGTATTTGTAATGCCAATGAACATTCTGGCAATTAGAGGTTTCCCATTCTAGGGCTGCACAGGTGAAAATGCCCCAAGTTGTCACCCCCCTCCCCATTTTTTTAAAATCTGAGTGGGGAAAAGGACAGATGGAGGGGAAAGCACTTGGACTCCAGGCAACCATTAAAAACCTCATTAGTGCTTAAATACAACACTGTAGAATTCTAGTTTCCCCAGCACTGGGACGACTAAATCAGACACAAGTTAGTTTATTTCTCATGATTCATTAAGTTCGCACAATGCAGCTAGTCTGGCAGGTTTCACTTTCCCCAGACTACAACGCTGCAGTGTTTCAGCTGCCAACTGCATGGCCCAGGAAGTGTTAAGCAAAATGGAATTCCAGTCATGCTGAACATGGTTTTCGTTCTCTTGACACATGCACACAGAAGCAGAAAACCACAACGCAAAAACCTCGAGGTCACAGCTCATGAATGAAAATGTTTGCTCTCAGTAGACATTCCGATCACCGCTAAAAGCTGTGAATCAAGATGATCCAGAAGCCTATGAGGGTGCCGTTCCTATATGGGCTGAGCTGGAAGCTCCATTGGCAAAGCTGGGTGCAGAAGGAAATAGCCTTACTCTTTTTGCGCTTCATTGCTGCCTCCCCTTTTGCAGCAACACTGGTCAGCTGCCCAAAAAGAGCCCCCTTGGAAAAATCCAGAGTCACTGGGGATGCCATGGAGAGAGAGAGCTTTTCCCCAGCAGTACAAGACACCAGCTCCTGCATGGACACACTTGACAATCTGGCTGTATGATCCTCTTGGATGCACTTCTAGTAAATGCTGGTGATCAGATGAGAGTCACAGTGGGAAGATCACTTGGATCTACTTCTTGTGATGAATTTAATGCAGATGCCACCTCTGCACTAAGTAGGTCACTGTGTTGCAAAGCTACAGTTTTTGGAATCCTTACAGTTCACCGTAATGTGATCAGACCTGATTTTGCTGAGCTTTCCCCCTTCTCACCGTCTTAATTGGTTACAGTTAATCATGCTTATCTGAGAGCAAACCCCACTGAACTCAGTAGGAATTAATTTCGAGCAGACATGCGGAAGATTGCATTTTAAGGGTCGTGTCCTGTTGGACATGGATGAGACAGTTACTCTTGGTGTGCTTTCCAGAGACCAGGTGGCACTGACTCATCAGACGAGGACTGGGAAGACTGGGAGACAGAGCATGAGAACAGGCAGGGCTGGGAGGAGAAGGGAGGTGACAACGGAGAGGTGGAAGATGAGCCTGTGTCCTGCCCAGTCCCTGTCTCTGTGACACAGCACTGGGATACTAGAGCTAACCAGTTAGAGTGCCTGCATAGATCTCCAATGCTGGCCCCTTCTAAAGAGGGACCAACCCAGAAGGGATTACTGAAAAGGAGGGTCCTCAGATGTGGTTTCTAGTCTGGGGACAACTAAACAGCCCGTTCATGCATTGAAACTTGTCTTCCTATTGCCATGGCCCTTTAGCTGTTATTTAGCTATTTTGCAAAGAGACTGTTGCTTGAAATGAAAAGGGGGAACCAAGCTCCCACAGTATCCAAATTAGTCCTATGTAAATTAGACCTATTTAAATAAAAGAAATCATTTTACTCTTGACTAACTTCAATCCCATTCTTTTCTACAGCTTTACCCTCCATGGGACTTACCTTGGACTCCCCTAAGAATGCAATCCTACGTGTATTTAGACAGAAAAAGTCCTACAACTCTCAGCATGTCCCAGCCAACGTGTCTAAACATGCACAGAATTGCATCCTAAGCAGGAAAAGGAAAAGCAAATTTTTAAAAAATCAGTAATATTCTTTCTGCTGCATCAGTTCACTAGGAGAACTTCCACTAGTCCTAAAAGTCTAACATTTTTCCAGAGGCATATCCAGTAATTCAGCTGATATTTAAGCATCTTTCTGAGGCAGCTAAACATTAGAAGTTCTGTAGAGGCATTTGATGGAGAGGGGAGAAGGCAAAGGGTATCTGCAAATGGCCTCTCATTTTCATGCATTTGTGCCATTTTTTTCCATCTCTGAAATTAGATGTAACAATATTCCACATTTTCCAAAAAGATTCAGAGGTTCTGTTCATCAGTGCAAAAAAGAACAAAGGAGTGAAGAATGCAAATAAGTCTCCAGGATCCTTAAGAGCAAAGTTGTAAAGGAAAAAAATCTCACGACTTCCCCCAGGCAGTGTCCCTGAGCTTTGCAAGGGCTTGAATGTTGCACAGCTGCAACAAGCAGCAGTGTTTGTGGCAGTGAGCATGCCTAATACTTCAAGAAATGTGCATTAAATGAAGCTCTGTTGAGTGCAAAGCTCATATTAGAAGTTAACGAGGCCAAGTGGCTCAGTTTCCTGAAGCTCTGTTCCTCCCATCTCCCAGGCAGCATCTTAAGCCAATGCAGAACCAAGCCATTTGATAAGATGCATTTTCTCCTCACTGCTCTCATTTGCTCCTTCTTAGCATCGCTGACCTCCCCCATCAAATGCCCCTACAGCTGGTCAAAAAGCCAGCCCTGAACAATTGCAAGTGGTCAGATCAATGTCTCAAAAGGTGTTGAGACGCACACCAGATCTGAGCTTGCAGGGAAGATATGAGAGGCCAAGAGACAGATGCACCTGTAAGCCTTTCCTTGGCCAAAAGCTCATTTTCTGGAGGATCACTCTGAAAGACCCTTGAATGGCAAAGCGCCAGCTCTTTACATTTCACCTGCAGAAGCAAGGCAGGGAGGCTGCTGGCTGCTCTCTCACTGTGTGTTAACCCAACATCTCTTTCTTCTGCTAGCATCCTGGAGGCCCCTTCTCAGCACAGACAGTATCCTGTCCACTTCACACTGACCTCCCCAGCAAAGTCACATCAGCTCAGCGGAGAAGGCAACATCGGAAAAAAGACTTGCATATCTCTGCTTGCTTTACAGAGATTTGCAGAAAGTGTTCATTACTGCACTACTGTCCATATCAGAGCAAGACTTTGATTTGTGTACATTCTTTCCCCGTGCAGATAGAGACAACCTGTTGAGAGTAACATCTTCAACATCTTTATCAGCAACCGTTAAGATAAGATCCTCTTCAGGGCTTAGAGTACCTTACTGGAATTAGTTGTCACATCTAGTTTGGTAATTTTATCTGTATAGTTGCACACTTATATTCTGTATTTCTGAATTAGAAATGTGACTGATCTACATATATTTCTGTCTGTTCATTCACACAGCTCTGGTTTTCAGAAGACCAACTTTGGGCAAAGACATTAAAAATGCCAGGTTGTCTCCCCCTATCGTTGGATCTCAGAGATCCAGCATCTCACAGTTATTTATCACCAGTTTGCAGTTTCCCAAAGTAACATGAAAAGCCTTTTCATCAGATCATGGTCACACCTCCACACATTACTCTCAGCAATTTTTCTCCTTTGCAGCCCTGCCACCTCCTAATCTTGCTACTGGCAGGCTATTCTTGCTCAACTGTCTATCCTTCACCATCATGACTACATCAAAAACAAAGACTCCCTGCCCACTAGGTCTTCCACTAGGATCCCTTGCCTTCTCAGAACATTTCAAGCCATCTAACTCCCCCTTCAGAAGGATCTCTGGAGAGAGGAAGACACCCCCATGTGTTGCTGAAGCAAATAAATACAAGGATCCCTTTCCCACAGCTGCCTGTTTGGACCTGGACCAAGGACCCCTCCAGTAAAGATTTCCAATCAGAAACATCTCTGAGGATCACTGACCTCTGAATGTGTTGTCTAGTGAATCAAGGAGAAACTCCTTTCACAGAAAAGGACAATATCCAAATATTGTCACAGTTTGCACCCAGGCCAAGGTCTCCTGGTGGGAAGTCTGAATCCACACACAACATGCTCTGGATATTTACTCTTCTGTAGATCTTATCGGAGTCCTTACAACAACGGCCCCTTGCTGGCTCAAGCAACTTCATTCTACACAGTGACGGTCCTCTGTCCCTAAGTGGCCAAAAGTCCTGCATCCAAACCATCACTCTGTGCCTGCCTTCTAAGCTGTTCACCCACTCAACCTACAGTTGGAGTCTCTGCCTTTTGGATGGGATCCAGCCAAAGCCAGGGCTGACACCAAAGATCTGAACATGGCAACAGCCACCTAGTAGACGGGGTTGATTACTAGGTTGGTCTCATAGAAAAATGCCAAGGAACAGCAATGCCGGTGACAAAAAATTTGCACAGAAGGCAAGTTGCTATACAGAAAGAAATTCTTAATGATTGTGCTCAGGAAAATATTGGTGGTCACTTGAGCAGGCAAACAGGGAATTTAGTAGCTGAGTTACAGGAAAATTACAGCCTCCCATGATTTACTCTATAAATGTCAATTTGATTCAGTGTTTAGGTAGCCATGCAGCGTTATGGAACAGACATTTTACCAGAAGGAAATGTGTTTCAGCACCGAGGACAGAAATTCATGCTGCGTTTACAAGGCATCTTTACCGTTTCTATCTTCCACCTTCTCAGAGAAGCCTCAACGGTTTAGTTGGCCTCCTTAAATACCCACTCCTTCTTCTGGTGCCATCCTGCCTTATTCCATTATTCCCCATTCACTTGCCACCTTGAACTGATGGGAATTTAGAATATTTGTGAAAGTTGTTTGTTATCGGTCCTGTTGGAGAGTGGGAGGCAGGAGGAAACCAGATGGAGCCTAGAGCTATGTTCTCAGCAGATGGTTCCCAGACATATAACCAGGTGGTGGGGAGAGAGATCATGGAAGCCCCTAGCAATGAAGTGCAAAGAAAGCATTGTGCTTGCAAAATAGCCAGGTAGGATGGGGATGAAAAGAATGTACTTACACTGTCTTCTTGTGCAATTACAATTCTTAAAAGGCAAGGCAAGGCAAGGCTGAGAAGACACAGAAGAACTGAGAGAAGCTGGCTACATGGGCCCATTTCAGGAAATAGAGAACATTGGGTGCGTTAAGGAAAGGAAGAATCCCAGAACGCGCTCCATGGCAATGAAGTCAGGGCATGGTGCGCTGAGACATTTTGGAGAACAGGTTTTTATGCATCTCTTACTGTTGATGTGAGCTCTTTCTGAGAAACCGAGATGCTGGCAAGGACGATGAAGAGAAGTGTTTGGCCAGAGAGGCTGGAACTCGGAGCTGGGCTACCAAGGGAGCAATCAGGCTTACCATTGACGGTGAGATGCACCCAGCTGCCATTGTGGAAGGTGTCGTACTGCTGATCCAGCATGAGCACTTTGCACTCGTACCAGCCCTGGTCCTCAGAGCGAACCTGCTCAATGCGCAGGGATGCCTTGTCATGAAGGCTGGCACGGCCTGGAAGAGAGCAGCAAGGTGGGGTTGAGCAAAAATGAAAAGGGAGGGGGCATCCATCCTGTGGCACTTGCCCACTGCACCCAATGGCAGAACAGGCTGTACTCTCATCCCAGGAGATCGAGAAGAGCATGGAAACCACTGCAGTGGAATGAGTCCATTGGATGCATTTTCCTCAATGGGAATCTGCAACACGGCTAACAGGAGAACTTCAAACAGCCAGTGCGAGCACAAGCACCCCAGACTGTGCCATTCTCCCCATTTTCCCTACTTTTCCTGTCTGGAGTTGCTTCTGTCAGTGTGGGTTGCTTGATCTGCTATTCTTTAGTGTCCAAGTTCCTCCTCAGAGAAAGGTGCAGCATGGCCTACACCCCTCCAGATGTTGGGCTACAACTCTCATCAGCTCCAAGGCTTAGGAGAAAAGATGGGTGTTGTACTCCAATGCCATCTGACCTTGCAACATCTGGTATCTATGTCTGGAGCCCGTCACCCACCACACAGCAGGTCAGAGAAGCAGCATCCCCACCACCTAAACAACAAGCGGACTGAATGCATAGCCAAAGCGCCTTGTCTCAAGGGAGTGCAAGGACATGGTGGGGGTACTCCATACAGAGATGATCCACTGCTCCATCTGGCTCAGCAGCTTTCAGAGAGGACTCTTTCCCTGTCTGAACTATGGTGCTTCCAAGTCCGGCCCCCTTCTCCTCCATGTTCCTTCCACTGCTCAAAACAAGACCGCAGAAGCACGGACCACTTCTTCACAGAGGAGCAGGGCAGATGTATGGCAGGATGGGGACAAGGTCCTACCATGGTTGCATCAGTTTTGGTCCTAAGAACCTTCCAGCCTCTGGGGAGAGTTGCCTAGGGAAGTCCTCACCTCTCAACAGAGAGTCCTGAGAGAGACAGACAGTGTGCAGAGTCGGTGCATTCAGGTCATCACCTGCTCAGAGAGCACAGCAGAGGCTGGGCAACTGGGAGAGATCATTTCCCTCCCGCACTTCCCCAGAGCAGAAAATCAAGGAGAGGAGGAAGGAGGAAGAGAAGAAGGCCCTGCTGGGGCAGTCAGTAACTTGCACACCCCAGAAAAGTAGAAATGCCTCACACGCACACATAGACAGAGAGTTACATAAAACGGCATTTGCTGATTTGAATGTATAGATGCAAGCCAGGAAATTAATTGCTAGGATTTCAGAGAGAAATGCAGCCCATCTCCCCATGGTGGGGCACTCTGAGCAGCTGAGCTCCACATCTTCCTGGTTAGCCTACTGGTAGGCAGACCTGTTCCCTGCCCTCACTTGTTATGGCTCTCTCCCTTTAGGATGGGCAGCCCCTAAAGGGAAAGAGCCAGGGCACCTTCAGACAGAGGACTGTTCTCTGAATGGCCCTCAGATAGAGGACTGACTTCTCTAAATAGGATGCACAGCCACCCCAGGCCTAAACCGAGGGATGTAGAACTGATCTTTGTCAGAAGTCTTCTTCTCTAGTCTCAGTTCAACCCTTGCATTATTCAAGATTTAGCCACATGTAACTGTGCTTTCTCACTTGCTTTCCTCAATTTCCTGACATCTGTTTCCTCCTTTACACTCCCTCCCACTGTCAACAATGAAATTTATGAGCATCCCACATACCGGGACCTGAAAATACACATCTGTGGACCCTTCTCCCATGTTCTAAGCCAGGAGTGGGGAACCTCAAGCTCCTAGGACAAACCTGGGGGTCCCAGTCCAGGCCCAGATGGCCATGACCCACACCCATGCCCTGCTCACCAGTCATTTGCTGCTTCCCAGGCTGGCAGGTCTTCTTATCTCCCCCATTTGGAAAGCCTGAAATGCTTTCCCCAAGGCTTACTTACTGACAGTAAAGGCTTTAGTACAATGTGCTAGGATTGGGTAGTTGCCCCTTTTCCCTTTGGCCCAGCCCACTCCTAGAATACAGCTCCTGAGAGTTTTCCCAAACGCCCTGTGACTGAAAGCATTTCCCTACTATCCAAGCATTATTTGAGAAAGGAGGAAGACCCTAATCATAATTTTGTATGCTTTGATCACTTTCCTCCTCAGCTATATTCGCTCTCTCTCTCTCTCTCTCTCTCACACACACACACATCTTTGAGAGAGAGAGAGAGAGAGAGAGAGAGAGAGAGAGAGAGAGAGAGAGGGAGAGAGAGAGAGTTGCTAAGGGGTCTGGTGGAAAAGGTAATAGGCCAGGCCTCTTCTGGTCCGAAGCTGTGCGCTGGAGACAAAAAAACCGACCAGAGGAAAGAGTGTTACTGTTGTGATGCTGCTTACAGGCAGTTCACCACTGGACTAGATGAATTCTTGTACAATCCAGCAGCCAGGCTCTTCCTGCAGTCTGGGGTCAGAGAGCAAGTAAGCCCCACCGGCAAACCCAAACCACGCTGGATTCTGCAACGCAGCCGAAGCCTGCACTCGTGCTGAGTCCTCGGCTGCAGCCTTGCTCCAAACCTGCCACTCAAGCGCAGGGAAAACTGCAGTGCTTCAAGAGCTGACCTAATAGGCTAATTTGCATTCCTGGATGGGAGTCAGAGACAGTCCTGACAGCTTGTGGCTGCAGTGACAAGTCAGCCAAGCACATGGAGGGGCAGATGCCCTCAGCAGATCCGGGACATGGCCAGCAAGCAACCCGCAGCTTTGAGGAGCTGGTGCCTCTGAGCTTCTGCTTAACCACCCTGCTTTGCTGCCAGGATCTGAGGCAAATGGTGTGACCTCGTGCAAAACCATCAAGAAAGAGGCAGGTTATGTAGTCAAAGGCAGGCTGATGGCCAGGTTCCAAAAGGCAAGGTACAGTAATCTGTGTACCTACTCAACTGGTGGGTTTCTCAAACTCGAAAGCCAAAGCTAGGACAGAAGCATACATAAGGCCAACAGGGCCTGTATGGTACCCCAGCAAGCCAAATCACCGGATCCCTGGCCACCTGGCTGCTGTCAGAGAGATGCTGTGCTGTAGTCACTTAGGTTAGCTATTGCCACAGTCCAGTAGCCCCGATTGCTCACTGCACAGGTTCTGCCGTCAGCATGTTCCAGTTCAAAACCATGGATGCTGTTGCACAGCCCCCTCTCCCCTCGCTTATCTTATTTTCGGTGGTGGGACTGGGCAGAGTCAGGGAAGGAACTGTTGCATGTCACAGCAATCCTCTGGAACAGCCTTCCCCAACCTGGTGCCCTCGTGGTGTGTTGCCTTGCACTGCAAGGCAACTCCAAAGACCAGTGGCTGTCCACCAGACCCTATAAAGCCTCGGTATCTCAGCTTGCTGGAGCACCTCAGCCTCCATTCAGGAGGTAATTGCCAAGGCTCATGGCCTCGTGGCCCTCCTGCTAGATTGGGCAGAACCATGTGCCTACCATGTACCTACATTTGGTCCTCTGATTCTTGTTTGTGGACCCTGCCTCTTTCGGACCACTCATCTCCTCCCAACTATTTGAAGATGGACTTCATTCCTCTGAACTGGTTGTTCACAGGAAACCCATTTTTACAAGTGTGCCTCTGTGGGATAGCGGTTAGCGGGTTGGACCAGGACTCAAGAGACCTGGATTCTATCCCCTTTTGGTCATAACGCTTGTTCCCTGCAAGATGAATGAACTGCAGTATATGCGTATATAATGATAATTAAAAGCAAGGGGGAAAGCAAGCTAATTTTGAGTCCAGTGTAGCAACATGTAACAGGATGGCAGAGCAACCATCTGGCCTGAGCACAGGCTCCTCAACACACAGGGAAATCCTCACAGTGCAGCGTGCTTCCTGCTTGACCCCTGCTGCAGCAGACCGTGTCATCCATGCCTCTCCTCGGACCGCCTCCTCCTCAAGCTCCCAGGCCCAGTGCAAGCACTTGCAAGCTCAGGGCGAGGGCCCTGCAAACATGGGAGGCTCCCCAGGTTCAAAGGCAGCCCAGGCTTCGGATCCGTTCGGAGGTGGCCATGGACTTGGCCATGCAGAAGCTCGGGACTAGGATGTGGGAGGGAGGCCCCATTCCCCTGCAATGTCCTTTCTAACCGCCTGGCTCCACTGGAATGTGTCTGTCTACGGAGCTTTTGTGCAGAGATGTGAGCCAGTGCCAGCAGCATCCTCGATCAAGGATGTCACAAAAGGGGTTCAGCGCCATCCCCCAGATCACTCAGTGCTTTATGCTGCTCTAAGGAGACAATAGCCATGTCCCGACAGCAGTGGCTACCCTCAGCCTCACTGTGCCGGCTTCTCCGGGCACAGACAGCCCTGCCGGCTTCTCTCTGCTGCTGCTTAATTAAAATCAACCACGCGGAAAGCATGGGAGGGGTGGGGGAGAGAAGCAGTGGAAAGAGATGGAGAGAGTGAGCTTCCTGAGAAGAAAAGGGGAGGGGAGGGGAGGGGAGGGGAGGGGGCATGGGCTTGGCCTGCCCTGCGCATTAACCGACCAGCCCAAACTGGACTTAGCATGCAAGCAGGCCTGGCCTTTAACTGGCACAGTCCTCTGAAAGCCCCAACCATCTCTGTCCAGAAAGAGATGCATTTCCCTGTGCTATAGCAGGTTCTAGCAGGTGGGCGGGGGTTCTTAGCAAACTCTAGGATTCTGAGGAAGAGTTGTGGAAGGGACAGAGGTAGCCAGGAATCTCTAAGAAAGATTTCTAAGCCTGGAATTCTTTGCAGGAAGTCCTGCTGTCACATAGACATAAATCAGGTCCAGCAGTTTAGCATACACGGGCAGCTCCTCCGTGCGTGGGCACGTGTCCTCAGCTCACCGGCATATTCTGGGTCCACATGGGGAGGGTAAAACCCGAACTTGATGAAGATGGGGATAGGTACTCCAAACTTGAACCACTCTACGACATAAGGAGGGGGCTGGCCCGTCAGCGGATGGATCACGTCGCACCCCAGGATCACACTCTCCCCGGCACGAGCTGTCACAAACTCGGGTTCCTCCCTTAAGCCGTGGGCACCTGGGAAAAAGAAGGGGAGAGGAACGATCAGCGGGATTGCGCTGCAGCGAAAGACCTTTCCACTCCAACAGTGGAGCAGTAAATTTGGAACGGTGGGGTGCTGAGCATGACAGTTCCCCAGCCATGCTCCTCGGGAGAAACCGAAAAGATAGGCAGCAACACCGCTGCATTATTTTAGTCTATTTTAAATATTTTGGGAGCTGCCTTGGGTGATATTTTGGGTTGGAATGATGGGTATAACCCAAACAAATAAATAACTCGTTTCATTGCAGCTGGGAACAAGATCTTGTTGATGGGGAAATGAAGCCCCGCTCCCCACCTGGCTGGAGCGAAGTTCAGAAAAAACAAGGAGACCTGAGGGCAGAGAAGGCAGCAGGCCTACTGATGAGCCGGTGCGGGTGCTACTCCTCTGCAGTCCTCTGGTGCTCCACTAACCTGCTACTCAGGTCACCAAAATGCTGGGAAACAAATCAGGGGAACTGCCTCAGGAAAAGGTAGGCTTAGTGAGGCTTCGCACTGAACTCTTCCTCTTGGAAGGGGCCGGGTCTTCATTTGCTGAAGGACTGAATGACCCAGCAACACTGGCTTCACCTGCTGGTCTGAGTCAGAGCTCAAGGGGTTCTTCAATGACTTCCCATGGTTGACTGACCGAAAGCAGAAGGTAACCATTAGCGGGGAATCATCAGGATGGTGGCCAGTGACAAGTGGGGTCCCCCAGGGCTCTGTCCTGGGGCCAATCCTGTTTAATCTTTTCATTAATGACATGGAAGAAGGGGTGAACAGTCTGCTGATCAAATTCGCAGACGACACTAAAACTGGAGCAGTGGCCACAACTGAGGAGCAGGTACTCCAGATCCAAAAGGATCTGGACAGACTATGGAAGTGGGCAGGAGACAACAGGATGGCGTTCAATGTGGATAAGTGCAAGGTCTTGCACTTGGGGCACAGGACTAGCTGTCATAAGTACAGGTTAGGTGACAAGTGGCTGGAGAGCAGCACTTGTGAAAGGGACCTCAGGATACTGGTTGACTGCAGGCTAAATATGAGTCAGCAGTGTGATGCAGTGGTCAAGAGGGCGAACGCCACCCTTGGTTGCAAAGCCAGAAGTGTGGCTTCTAGATCAGGAGAGGTATTACTACCACTCTACACGACTCTACTGAGCCCACAACTGGAGTATTGTGTTCAGTTTTGGGCCCCTCATTACAGAAAGGATATAGCCAGGTTGGAGTCAGTGCAGCGTAGGGCCACGAGGTTGGTGGCCGGTTTGCAGGGGATGGGGTATGAGGCGAGACTGAGGGAACTGGGTCTCTTCAGCCTGGAGAAGAGGAGACTCAGAGGGATATGTTGGCGACATACAGGTATGTGAGGGGATGTCACATGGAGGTGGGTAGAGACCTGTTCTCCCCTGCAGAGGAAGGCAGGACTCGCTGCAGCGGAGCAAATCTCAGGGAACCCAGGTTCCATTTGGATGCCAGGAGGCACTTTCTGATGGTTAGGACCCTGAGGGTGTGGAATGGGCTTCCACGAGAGGTCGTTGAGGCCCCATCGGTGCGGGTGTTCAAGCATAGGCTGGACGTCCACATGGTGGGCATGTCATGAGCAGAGCCGGCTGGTGCCAGAGGTCAGACTAGATGGCCCGGGAGACCCCTTCTGACTCGCTCTGTTTCTATGTTTCCCCTGAACAGAAAGCACCACAGAGGTTTTCTGAGAGCCTTGCCCCCACGATGATCTCCTCCACTCACCCCCTGCAAGGGAAAATGGGATCTCAAAAGGAGAACTCAGCTGACACGTGCACCCATCCTGCTTGAGGGATCCTGTGGGCAGCTGGCTGGCCACTGTATGTACAGAAGGATGAGCCTTGGGCCTGATCCAGTGTGGCCCTTCTTGTGTTTGCTGTTGCTCTTTCTATAAGATTAGACAGGGTGGGCAGGGGTTCAAGGAGCTCTTTATCACTGCCTTGGCCCACACAAGACAAGCAGCAGAGGCATGCAGTGGGGAGCAAGGCTCTTAGGAAGGGGAATGAGCTGGGGAGCGAGTGGGAGGATGCTTGGTCGCCTGCCTCCAGTATTGTAAGGGGAAGGGAACCTCAAAGCAAGGTTCCAGCACATTCGCTCCAGCACCACCAGCAGTGCTGTGTCTAACAGACTGGTAATTAGGGTTCGGGGGAGTTTCCTAGCTCCAGCACGAGCCCTGTCCTGTAAGGTTACCCTCAAGGGCCTTACCCTGACCCTCAAGTTCTACAAAGCCCCAACCTCAGTTATGTGTCAGTCTGGCACAAGCTGGCACCCTTCCCCTGAACTGCTGCTTCTTGGAACCATGCCTCCCACATGCCCCGAGGCCCATGTCTTTCATTATACACACTTTTGACCAAGCATGTTGGAGACTTGACCTCTTGCCCATCACTGGGAATCAGCATGTCCCTCCTCTGAGCTGCAGTTCTTGCCTTTGGTACTTGGAACAGGCAACCGGTTTTCTAGGCCCACCCCAAAACTGGGCTGCTAGAAGGGAAGGGCCCAGTATATGAAGGCAGTGCCTCAAACTATGGAGTAACCTACCTCAGGGGGAAGGAACCAAGAGCTTGATGGCGCCTGAGTGATTAGTTAAAATACTGCAATCTGCCTTTCCCACTTGGCGCACTGGAAGGGGAGGCTGGTGACTCCTGTGGGTGGGGCCACCCATGGTTCTAACTCCATCCTCCAAAGAGAGCAGTCCACCACCATGGGGCATGATGGATAGTGCTTGCAAAGCTCAAAATAGACGCTGCAGTGGAGGAGATGCCCCACTGGCACACAAGTCGCCAACCTCTCCTGACTCCATCAGGAAATTGGCTGAGTGGGGGCAACTCTCCACAGTTTCAGGTAGAGGATTTTCCTAGTCCTACTTAGAGATGCCATGGATGGAACCTGGGACCTCCTGGATGCTAAGCATGTGCTGCAGCACTGGGTTATGGCTCTTCACCTACAACCCATTTAGGGGTTAAGGGGGACACTTTCTAGTAATGAATCCCACCCACTGCAATCATCTTTGGAGTACAGTTATGCTCCTTATCAAGGTCAACACCAAACATGCCTGCGGAGTGCTCAGGGTGTCCCGCATGCTCTCAAATCTTCCTCTGACTTTTGCACATCCAGTGAAGAGGGCCAGAATAAAAGTGCAGGTCAAGCAACGAGCATGGAAAATGAATCAGCAACATTTTGGAATAAATACATTGAGCATCTCTCCAAAAGTCTCCAAGGTGAAGCCCACAACTCAGGAGCAGAAGCCAGAGAAACAGAAAGAGGGAGGATGGCGGTGGCAAAACACCTGCGTCTTCACAGGAAATGCACCTGTTTGTGCAAAAGGCTACCTTCTAAGGTTGCAAGGCAAAGCTGTGCTGCGACTCTCCCCTTCAAGGCATCTGCTAAAGCACCCCTTCCCAAAGGGGATTACCCTCAGCCTGCAAAGGCAGAGTCAGTCATTTGCCAAATCAGCCTTTCAGCATTGCGCCAAGGTGACCTTCCTGCAGAGGCTCCCCACCCGCCCAACACATGTCTTTCAGCCTCTCATTCTGGAGAAAGGGAAAGAGGGAGGAGTGAACCAGCAAGCACCATATGGCATTTTTTTCTCCCCTCCCTTTCCCCCCTTTTTGTTAAGCCTCTACACATTGCCTAATATTACCTGCAGGGAATGTCTCTCCTCCTTGTAGCAGGAGAAGCATCCATTCATAAACCATTTTGCTTCTCCAGCCAATCGCTGGCAAAGAATTCCAAAAAATCCCTGGAACGGGGCCTTTGATTGGGAAACCGCTGACACAGCCCAGGCTGCAGTACAAGCGGTGACAGCATTGTTAAAATAGCAACACGATAAATTACAGTTGCTGCAACACACCGTGAGAGAGAGCGAGAGAGAGCCCTGTATCTATTACACACACCGTCTCTAACATTCAAAGCACAGGGAGATTTGCATAATGGTTGAGGCCCCATCAGTGAGGGTGTTCAAGGAAAGATTGGACAACCACATGTTGGGGATTACATGAGCTGAGCTGGCTGGAGCCAGGGGTCAGACTAGATGGCCCAGGAGGTTCCTTCTGACTCGCTTTGTTTCTATGTTTCTACACATACTTCTTCCAAGAGGTTGGAATCACACCTCCAGCCAACCTGTAAGCCAAAATCCACAGTGGGATGTATGCTTCCATGCACACACACACACACACAACTTTAAGTCCGGATCACTTGGAGAATGTGCGAAGGTCCAGGAATGTCCAAAGAATCCAAAGGTCTGGCTGGTAGTTTCAATGTGTTTGACTAAGGGACCTGTCACCTTTCCCAAGTGGCTGGCTCCCAGACTCTGCCCAGGCACACAGAAATGTAGAGCAACTTCTTTAGTGCAGGACTCATCATGACAGTGCTCACAGGGAGAGTCCAAAATTACAAGTAGCTGTATGAATGCAGCTCTCCCTGTGTGTGTACATACATATAGAAGAGCGCTCAGAATCATATATTGCTGCTGGGAAAATCTGCTATCGTGAGGATTACGGGTAAGTGCCAACGGAACAAGGAAACCTGAGCAGCACATGGGGCAGAGGACATCACCTCCTCCGCTAATCAAAACTCTTCACAACTTGGCCCTGTGAGCCTTGCCTCCCTTGCAATACTGCAATCACTAAAACTGCCCTGGGTTGAATTCCCAAACTAACCACACCTCCAGGAAAAAGAGGCCATACCTTTGAATGCTGGCCTAGAAATATTACCAAGTGATTAATGCCCGGAGAAGAGAAGAAAGTATTCTGCAGCTATTCCATTTCTTTATCCCTGATGGACTTTGGGAGGGAGCATGCATTAAGGCAAAAGAGGTTTTCTTTCATGGGAAAACATGAAAGCTGAAGGTGGCATTTGGAAGGGTTCCCCCTAACATTCTCGAAAAGCACCCAAGGTCCATAAGCAGTTTACTTTTGAACAGCAGGTGTGCAAATGGGGATGAAGCTGAGCAACAGGTAAGGGTAATTTCATTTAAACCCCAGT